ACTTGCCAACCTCTGAGGCAGGGGTCCTCAAACTATGGCCCGAGGACCACATGCGGCCCGCCGCCGTGTTTTAGCCCGTGTTTTAGCCGCCGCTGCCTGTCCTGCTTGGCAGCTGACTCGTCCCGGGCCCACGGTGCACATGTGTGGAATGTGCGCCGCACTCTCCAACAGCCTCCAACGGTCTGAGGGACAGTGAACTGGCCCCTGTTTAAAAAGTCTGAGGGATACTAATATGAACAGGGTGCTTTCAGCGTTAAAGAACACAGAAGAGTGGCTACACACATTTGGCTCAGGAACGCAGGCTGGGACTGGGCGGAAGGCACGCCCCAAGTCACAGCCTCCAGGCATCTGCTCCTTGCCCACTTTAGATTACATCTTCTTGGAACGTAAGAGACAACGGTCCAAATGTAGAAAGTCATCCCTCAGCATCCGTAGGGGATGGGTTCCAGGACTCCCCTCAGATTCTAAAATCTGTAGATGTTCAAGTCCCTGATATAAAATGGTGTAGCATTTGCATATAACCTACGCACATCCTCCTGTGCACTTTAAATCATCTCTAGATCACTTATAGTACCCAATACAATGGAAATGCCATATAAATACTTGTTATACTGTATTGTTTAGGGAATGACAGAAAAAAGTCTGTACATGTTCAGTATAGATGCATTTTTCCCTTCTCAAATATGTTTGATCCGCAGTTGAATTCATGGATGCAGAACCCACAGATATGGAAGGCCAACTATACATAAAATTAGGACACAAAATAGCATGTGAAAGAAAAGAGATTATTATCTCAAGCTAGGCAAAGATTCAATTTCCAGAAGGCCATGAACAGGATGAAAATGATGCCTTGGAATAAGCCAACAATGCCGACAGCAAGTGGCTCGGAAAGGACCCCTATAAGAAAGCTTCAGAGAGCAGAATAATTCTGGGGTTGTTTCTCCTTTCAGTTTTTCATTCCTATACTTGGCCCTATGATGCAAACATGTTCTAACAAATATAAAAATTTTATCATACAATTTTATCATAAAAAGGATGGTTTCTTCTGCTCAAGATTTCAGCTTTTTTGTAAAATGACAAGCTAGCGTTCCAGCTTCACCCAGTGGTGTGTATCAGGACCTCATCAAGGATTCCCAAGAAGCTCCGGGGCAGACGGGAGGGGTACTGTCCAGGAAAGTGCCCTATCAGGTTTAGCCATATGACCTTTAGGAGAAGCAATGAATTAAAAGCCAAAACAAGCATCTCTGTGGGGTTTGATGTTCCCTATTTCTTCTCCTAGTCCTGTTTCTCCTGTCCCAGTTGTTCCCTATTTCTGCTCAAAACTCAAGAATCATCAGAGTCCCCAGTCTCCCTTCTCCATACCTAATCACCTGGTTGTTTCCTCCAGTTACTTCCCTACTCTTCATGCTCTGTTGTTATTTCTTGCCTAGACTCTTAAACAGGGCTCCTGCCTGGCCTCTCACTTCCAGCATCTCCCCACTACGCGGGCTGCATCCACTGCCCCGCACCCAGCTCTGAGGAACAGCAGTCATTTCTAAGGACAGGACCAAGTGCAGACTGGCCTGGCCATACCGCACTCTCCTTTGTTCTCATGATCCCCCTCACATACCCTCTGCTTGCAAAACTGAATTATTTACTCTATCCCCAACATGCTATGTGACTGCCTGGCTCTGTGCCTGTGTTCCCTATCCTCCCAGCCTCTGACCAGGATGGGTGGCATCCTTCTCTCCCATCCCTCAAGGGTTTAACCGGCTCCGTGAAACCTCCTCGACCTGCCTCCCACTGGCAGGACCCTACGGCCATCTACCACACCACCTCACGGCACAGCTCACATCCTCACTTGGGTTATAATTATACAGTCACGCACTGCAAAATAGCACTGCTGCTGCTGCTGCAGACACACACACTGCCCTGCCCGCCATACAGAAAGCACATCACACTCCATAATGATGCCACTGTGTTACTGGTTTATATTTACTATAATATACATTTATCATTTTAAAATGATAAAATATGTTTTATTATTTTAGAATGTACTCCTTCTACTTACAAAAAAAAGTCAACTGTAAAACAGCCTCAGGCGGTCCTCCAGGAGGTACTGCAGAAGGCATCCCTGTAACAGGAGATGACAGCTCCATGTGTGTCCCTGCCCTTGAAGGCCTCCCAGTGCGACCAGATGTGGAGGTGGCAGACAGTGACAGTGGCGGTCCCAGCCCTGTGTAGGCCTAGGCCAACGTGTGTGTTTGTATCTTAGTTTATAACAAAAAGCTTAAAAAGTAAAAATAATAAGTAAAACATTTTGAAAGTAGAAAAAAGCTTACAGACTAAGGATGTATTTTGTACAGCTGCACAGTTTGTGTGTTTTAAGTAAAGTGTTATTTTATTACAAAAGAGTTAAAATGCTAAAAAATAATTTAAAAGTTTATGAGGTAAAAAAGTTACAGTAAGATAATTTATTATTGAAGAAAACTTTAAAGATAAATTCAGTGTGGCCTAAACTCAGTGTTTCTACAGTGCAGTGACGCCCTAGGCCTTCACCTTCGCTCATCGCTCACTGACACGCAAAGCAACTTCTAGTCCTGCAAGCTCCCAAGTTTTGCTGTTAACGCTATAGTGGATGCCCAGCTGTGTGCCTTCGCCTGTGGCTATCGACTATAGTCCACACTCCTATCCAAGTGGTTAACCATTCAGCTAACTCTACTACTTACATACTCCAATAGCCTTCACTCTCTGTTCCCATCAGAGTTCAGTTTCTTCGTCGGTAATATTCCATGATAAATTTTGCCTGGCAAAGCTGTGGTGAGAATTAGAAATAACACAGTGCCCAGCATACAATACCTCAATAAATGTCAGCCTTCGTCACTGTAAGCAAAGACATATGCGAGCTCTGGCATGGGGCTTCTGAATGGGCTGATAAGGACACCGGAGAACCCTGGCTGCCTTTACACCATCCCTTCCTGAGCCCCTCCAGCCTGTTCCTCCACACACCATGAGGCCAATGCTGGCCTTCTACCTGCCATCTGCTGAACAAGGCATGTTGCTAAGTGCTTTTACACAAGTCATTTCATTCAATTCTCATATCTCTGTTAGTTATTTCCAATTTATAGATGAAGAAAACAGAGGTTTAGAAAAGTTTAAAAACTTGCTCTCAATTAAAGAGCCAGAAAGTAGCAGAACTAGGGCAGCTACAAGCCTGTATTCTTTTTTTTAAAGATTGACTATCTTCTGTTTCTTTGACAGATAAAATTGTACTTATTGTGTACAACATGATGTTTTAAAGTCTAAACAGTGTGGAGTGGCTATATCTAGCCAATTAACACATATACAATGCACATACTCTTTTTTTTTTTCTGACCAGCAAACCAAATTTCCCCTTTCCTGCTATATATATCGTGTTTCCCTGAAAATAAGACAGGGTCTTATATTTATTTTCCTTCAAGAAGACACCCTAGGGCTTATTTTCAGGGGATGTGTTCTTTTTTTTAAGTACGGTACAACAATCTACATTTATTCGAATATAGTTAAGTCGTCTTCTTCTGGAACATCATCATAACTCTCCAAACCCCGAATTCCATCCTGAATTTCTTGTGACTCTATTTCCTTTAGAACCATTGGTCCCAATCTCTCATGTCGGGCAATAGAGCACGCATGGGCAGATGAGAAGGGCTGCTCTTCTTCTTTACCGCTGCACGATGAAATGCATGGGTTGTGCAGATGCGCCGTGTAGCCACGCCCATCACTAGGTCTTATTTTCGGGGTAGGGCTTATACTGCGCAAATGCTTAGAAATCCTACTAGGGCTTATTTTATGGGTAGGTCTTATTTTCGGGGAAACACGGTATATTTTTTGAGACACAGTGTCACTCTGTCACCTGGCTAGAGTGCAGTGGCATCATCACAGCTCACAGCAACCTCAAACTCCTGGGCTCGAGCGATCCTCCTGCCTGAGCCTCCCGGGTAGCTGGGACTATAGGTGTGTGCCACCACGCCTAGCTATTTTTTCTATTTTTAGTAGAGACAGAGCCTTGCTCTTGCTCAGGCTGGTCTCAAACTCCTGAGCTCAAACAATCCTCCCATCTCGGCCTCCCAGAGTGCTGGGATTATAGGCGTGAGCCACTATGCCTGGTCTGCTATATAAATTTTTATTCTTGCTGGGTTGAGTATCATTTCAAATAAGGGAGGCTTCTCTCTATAGGCTGGCCAATTTAGGTAGAAGTGAGGTGTTACCACTGAATTGTTTTTATGCCATCAGGGATTGTTTTTAAAGTGGTTATTTGAATGAGTTAAACAAATCCGATGAGTTTATCCACAGATGTGTGTGAAAAGACTTAACACTGCTTTGCTTGTGTCACTAGTTTGTTGCTTACTGTATTAAACTTTCCCATCAAAGCTGAGACATTAAGCCAACTCTTTACCTCTGCAAACTTGCCTCTTGTGACTCCATCATACTTCCTGTCAGATGTTTCTTAGTGCACCCCTTGCTTAATAGGTTCTTCCATAACTTCTACCTTTCCTAACACTTACTAGGTTCACTATACTTATTCCCATCTTTCTCATTAGTCCCCTGCATCTTCTAAAATCTTTTACAATAAATGCTTATTATCGGAATAAAAAAGAAATGAAAGTTTAAAAAAACTTTTCAGCTTCAAAAAATAAATGTAGGGCAAAACAAAAAACTAGTAAGAGCAAGAATTCCTTCAAAACTCAGAATTAAATACAAATAAGTTTTATTATCAACCGAGTATTGATGAGAAACTTTTCATCTCTAGTTTTCTTAGGCTTTAATGTAAGTCACATAATTCTAAAAGTAAATCAATTCTACAAAAATTTACTGTACTAGCCTTTGTTAGACACTAGTTTGAATTACCCACATCTCCATTAACAGGTGCACTTAATTCCCACTCTCCCAAAGGAGCCGAATATCTACCAACCAGACAGAAATAAAAACAAACAAAATTAATCAACAAAATGAGCAATTAAAGATAAACAGTAGTAACTTACCTACTTCAGTGAGTTGATGTCTTTCTAATGTTAAGTTCTTCGGATCCTTAATAAAATGAAAGGGCTGTATTTTTATTCCTTCAATTTGAGGGAATAACAGAGCAAAACCAGATTCTCCAATTTCTATTTCCTGAGGTCGACTGCTACCTGATCCCATTGGAGTCACTAGGGAAAAAGTTAAACAGATTTGTGAACAGTGCATATTAGCCAGTCCCACCCAGATAACTACCATTCAGTTCACTAAGTCAATCATCAAGCCAAGTGGTCACTATCTGAGGAAAAGTTTTCCAGCTTTGACAATTTCAGGGTGTAGTGTCATGATGTCTGCAACTTAACTTTCAAATGGTTCAGAGAGAAATGTTTTTATAAACAAGCTGAGAAAAAGCAAATGCTGCAAAATTTTTTCAATCATTGAAACTAGACGAAGAATATATGCGTGTTTACCATACTATTCTATCATTCTTTCAACTTTTCCATAGGTTTGAAGTTTTTCAAAATAAAAAGTTGGGGGGGTAGTAAATACACTTTCATAGCAATTTCACTTTTTAAAATTTACCCTAAAGATATTTGACAATCATATGAAGTATATACACACACAAGTAGTTTTCTCACAGAATTTTTAGTAAGAAATAAAAGAAAAAATTTAAATATCCTAATGGTATTTAGATTAAAAGTTACATTTGTATAATAAAACATATCCATTGAAATGATGACAGGTGTATATTTATTGACATGGCAATATGTTTGTAATATGCTCTGAAATTTAAAGGCAGATATTATAGACTAAATTGTGCCCCCCCCAATTCATATGTTGCAGCCCTAACCCTGCTATGTGACTGTAGTTGGAGATAAGGCCTTATAGAACAGATAGTTAAGATTAAATGAGGTCATATGGGTGGAGGCCTAATCCACCAGGACTAGTGTCCTTATAAGAAGAGGAAGGGACACAGAAGAGTGCATGAGAAAGCCACTGTTTGCAAGCTGCAGGGAAACCCATGCTGATCTTGGAGTTCCAGACTCCAAAACTGTGAGAAAATAAATTTCTGTTGCTTAAGTCATCCAATCTATGGTATTTTGTTATGGTAGCCCTAGGAGACTAATACAGTAGGTTACAAGTCTACAGAAAATTATATTCTGGTTTTATATATTAATGTATGTTAAGATCGTAACAGTAATAGATTGTCAACTCTGTGGTGCTTAATTTTTTTTTTTTTGCTTACTTGTATCTTCTAATTTTTCTTTCTCTTTTCTAACAATAATGATTATAACTAGGGTAAAAAAAAGTAATAAACTTTTTGAAAAAAGTGTTAAGCCTTTTAGAAACCAAAGCTGGGGCAAAATGAAAAAATAATATTCATTTATAAGCACCTAAAATCTTTTGTACCTCACTGTACAAGACTCTTAAATTCAGATCAAAAGTCTTCCAGTGAAGACTAAAAATGTTAATTATGGAGTACTATTGAGTTAGAACAAAGAAAATAATATTAGTCAACATTTAACTTACTGCTTTCTGTATATTTATCTTCTAAATACTTTACATGTGTTAATTCATTTAAGCCTCACAATCCTCCACAGGAGGCACTACTGCCACACCCCCACTTCACTGATGGGAAACTGAAGCCCCAGGAAGCTCAGGTGACTGCTCAAACTCAGACAGACACCAGGTGGTACAGATGAGATTCCAATCCAGGTGTCTTAACCACTGTACCCTTCCAGCCTTCCAGCCTCAACAGAATTTTTCCCCCCATTACCTATAGAAAACAATCAAAAATAATAAAAATAAACAAAAATTCACCAACAGCAATCAAACATGGAAAAGGGCACAACCTCACACCATAAACTTATAACAGTGGCAGCCAAGCAGAGACATAGAAGTTTCCTAGTAAGATCCATTTTAGCACCTAATCCCAGTCCTACCTCACTCCTACCGACCAGAAACAGGACTGGTTAAACTGACAAAACTCGGAAAATGCCCATGAATACTTTCTAATTTGGATAGAGGCAGAATGGTATCTTTTCCCTCTTATGATTGGCTACTAGGTATTTGTTACATTTGGTTTACACAGGTGGCCTTGAGATTTGAAATACTAACCACAATAACTTAAATATTAATAAAAGTCAAATAAAATACCATGATAAATATGACTAACCTTTACTGTATTTTGGATGGCCAGTAATATTAATGTGCTTTTAAGCTACAGATAATTCACCAATCCATAGGATCCCACATTAATGCAAGGAGGGAATCATGAAGTTGCTAATTTCTCTCACCTACAATTCCTGGGGTCACAATCCCAAGGACTTGGCATTGTTTCGGGAATAGCTTTTCAAGGGCAAATGCTGTTTCCATGCTAGTTCTTCTCCTTGCTGCAAAAATACAGTAGCAAAATAATTAAATATCCATTTAAAGTCAAATATGACAATGTAAAAAAGTCACCTGACACCAGAAAGCTTTACAAAAAAGCCTAAAAGCTTTGATTAAAACAACCGTTTCCCTCATTTTGGCCCCTGCTTTGTATTTTAAATTCTAAATCTGACCTTTGGCCTCACTAGTTTGCCTTTCCCCTTTGTTCATATACTGCTTTTGCCCCAATAATGCCAAATTTAGCAGTAGCAGCTAAATGTTAGCCTTACTATTGTACCTTTCTGTTCAGCTGATATACAGCATAATAACTACTTGACTGCATAAATAGCTAGATTCAAATTAGATAATGAGAATCCTTTATCTAGGTCTAACTCGGGGCCTCAGTGTGCCCATCTTGGATAATTAGTCTGCTTTTTCTCTTAGCAAGCCAGGAGTGTACAGTCTCTGCAGATGACTCTGGTAAATGAGGCCCCATGTTCCAACACAGTGAGGCTTCAGCAGCCCAAGTCACACGTCCTGTTTTAATAATAAAAAAAGTGCTTAGAAGATTAAAGTATTTCAAAATGAGAAAAACACCTTTCTAAAAAATTTGTTTCAATTGTACCACAAGGCTTAAAAATCAATCTGAAGCAAAAAGGGCTCATCAAGCAAGGTTCGATGACAAATGTTCATGCACATTTCAGGGTGCAGTCCCAGAGCCTCAGAAAGTCAGCGACTCTTCAGGACTAGTACAACAGTGAACTCCACGCAGAAGGTGCATGAAGAAACAAGAAAAACAAACCTTTTCTTTAGATATTTACCTCTCTTATGGCCACGGCACTCTTCCAGACTGATGAACGTTTCCGAATCAGCCATGTAGAGAACTGTGTGTGGTAAGATGTGAACATTCTGCAAAGAAAAAAATCAGAATTGCGTCCTACGAGTCCCCGAGTGTTTTCATGTGGCCCCTCAAAGTGTTCCCGGTCCGAAGCACTGTCGCCCTATCTTCCTTCAGGTCTGTGTTGGCATTCTGAGTCCATCCACTTCTCATGTATTTTTCACTCATGCTCTTTTATTTTCAACTCACTAACTGGGCACCTATTTCTTCAAGCTGAACTCATTCCAGCCCTCAGAAAGCTCCTTTTCATGATGATAATTTAAGCTCTTAGAACAAAAACATCAAGTACCAGCAAAAGATGCCACTTGCTTTATTTGAACAGGTATCACAGTAACAGACATCTCAGCAACAGTGAAGGCATACATGCTGTGTCACTTTTCATTGCCTATCAAATAATCCAGGCCTTCATTTCCAGCCTCACCAACCAGCTTCCTCTAGGAGTCCTTAACTTACTATTACCCAGACATATCCACTTACACACATGTCCTCCCGTTGCTCTTTTCTTGTGGAATTTAAGATTGTTAAAAAAAAAAAAAAATAGCCAGGCATAGTGGTGGCACTTTTCTTGTGGTCCCAGCTACTTGGGAGGCTGAGGCAGGAGGATGGCTTGAGCCCAGGAGTGTGAGGTTACAGTGGGCTATGATGATGTCACTGTACTCTAGCCCAGGGAACAGAGCAAGACCCTGTCTCTTAAACAAAAATTGTTTCCCTCAAGAGACACCTTAAGTGCCACCTCTGCTACTACAAAACCTTTTCCTAGACTCCTTCAGGACTGTGGAGTCCTGAAGTCAAATGCAACATCCCTTAATCCCAGTTATTCTTTGTGCCTGATCTCCCCTATGAGCTGTTATTTCCCCTATGAACTGCTTATTCAGACTCATGTTTTCCACTAAACCTTCCCATCACAGACAAGTGGCAAAGCAGCTGAATTAAATGAAAAGGATGAAGATATTCTGTCTAGCTGGTTATTTTCAAAGATTTTTACTACGAAAATGGAATGAAGTACTTAGTATATAATATAGCAAGTACTTGCTGGTTAGATAAAAAAAAATGTTAGCCCATTATAATTAGGGGGACTGAGCTGTTTCAGAACAGATTCTATAAAGACAAACTCACAAAAGACACTGAGTCAGATGAGCTGTAGGCCCCAGGACAGCTAAGACCCATGGATGTAGTTTCTATGGTCCTACAGCATTTTCTTTTTTTTTTTTTTTTTACTTTTTTTGCTATTTCCCTGAACCATGCACCTACAGCATTTTCAAAGAATGTAAACTGGCTGCTAACATTCAAAAGGCCACAGAATTTTTTACATAAAATGTGGATTTCCAGATTCTTCTGAAAAACTAGACATTCTGGGACACTCAGACCGCATGCCTCTTGACTGGGGCTAAACAGAGGCAAGCCTTCTCCAGTTGGCCATGACCCCACCAGTCCACCGAGCCAGGGGACTCTTCAGCCACTTGCCTGGCCCTAGAGTATTGACTCTGTGGTGCCTGGTACAGACAGTATAGGAGACAGAATTCAAGAGATTTAGCTCTTAGTGCTAATTCTGCCACAAACTAGCAGAATAACCGTCAAAGTTTTTTGGCCTCACATTTCGTATTCTTAAAGAAATGTTAGAAGTCTGGCCCTGAGTTTTTATGAGTCTCTCTTTCCTGACACACACTAAAAAGCAATTGCTGAATCCCCCTTCCTAATTCAGAAGCAGTGACAAAGACAAGCCTCAACATGAAATTTTCTCAAAGCACAATTAAGTCAGATAGGACCACATTCCATTATTCAAAGAAGTTACAAATGGCAAGTGATTTTATAAAACTTTTAGTGGACTTTAAAATATTTCTAATAAAAAAAGTCATATCAACTTTTTTATGGCTATAAAAGTACTGTGCCCACTAGATAATTATCTTTTCATTATTTAATCCTTACAACAACTCTATATGGGAATAGGGGAATTATTATTTTTCTTTTTATTTTATGGAAATAGAACCTGAGGCCCAGAAAGGCTAAGTAACTTTTTCAAATTCATACTGCTATGTGCCAAAGCTGGGGTTCACACCTAAGTCTTTCTGTCTGTAACAACCACTGCAATATATAAACTTATAAAGCTACATAAAAATAATGCCTGCTGTGGTAAAAATTTGAAAGCCACCACCACACAAAGTTTTCAAAAGCCATTAAAAAAAAAAAACCCAGACAATTCTATCCTCAAAAGAAATTTGCTAACATTTTAGCTTATTTCTTTTCTACTCTTCTTTTTTCGTTTAGTATAATTCAGATTATACTAAACATATAATTTCATAATCTGCTTTTTTCACTTTTAACATCAACATTTTCTCTTGTCATTGATGCACCTTACAATTTATCATTTAATGATTCATTTATTAGATTAACGTTAGGTTGTTTTTAATTTTCCTTATGACAAATGATGCTCCAAAGAACAATTTTGAGGGTAAGTCTTTGCTTGAATTTTAAATTTTTCCAAATGACAAACTTTTGGAAATAGCAGGATCTGGGCAAAAGTGCCAGAGAAGAAAGTCTTCTAACCAGCCTGCCTTTAGATACTGGCCAACTCCTCAGGATGTGAGTGCCACAACCCAAATAGGGCAAGGAGAAAATCTACACAAGGAAGGGGAAACAGAAGATTGGTTACATATGGGGCACTGATCTAACATTAAGCATATTAAGAACGACGAGAGCCAGGCTTCTCATTGTCCAAAGGGAGGTACAAATATGAGCAGCAACAAAACTAGAACGAATCCTGTGTTTGACTGGAAATGGATGTACCTGTGTGAACTCATGAGTATTGACAGAAATATTGTTATAAATGTGTGCTATGTATACATACTTACATGCATGCATTTACACACATGTACTCCTGGCTCTGCCCACTTGAGCTTTGGCGCAGCAAACCCTCGATAGCAATGAATACACTTAGAGAGTCCAGGTTTTGGCTTCTAAATGCCATTCCCTGCTAAAAGGAACCAGGGCTTCTTGGAGAAATGGCTGATTGGTGCCAAGACTGAAGGAGGCAAAACACAAGACAAGCTTAGAACATCTTGTGCCAGAAAGCAAGAAAGTGCTCAAAGATAATGTCATCTCTAAAAGACACTGAAGCCAGCCTGAAGGGACTCCCACTAGCCAAAATTGGGGGTAATCTGAGCATCAAAATAAATACTGACGGTAACAAATTATATCCCACTGAATAAGAGACCAAGAGTGTGTACAGATATAAATAAATGAATAAACTGACACAGGATATTGACATAATTTCAAGCTATCTCTCCACAAAACACTTATTACAGTGGAAAAGTAATTTTAATGTAGATGTACCTGGTAGACACCACCCTAATCAAGTAATCAAAGCTAGTATCACCAGCAATGGGACAAACGGAAATCATATGCCACCTGAAAGGATGCTGTAAGAAGAGCACAACATCACTTCTGTGATATTCCTGCCAAAAATACATAATCTGAATCTAGTAAGAAACCTCGGACATAGCCAACTGATAAATGCCCCACAAAATTACTGGCCTATAACTTTCGTTAAGTGTCAAAGTTGGGAAAGGCAAGGAAGGCTTGAAAAACTGTTCCAGATCAAAGGAGATTAAAGAAACATGACTTGCAAGTTAAAGCAACTTGCAGTTCTGAACAAAACACTTTTCCTATGAAGAACATTGCCAGGACAACTGGCAAAATCAGAATCAGTCTGAGGACAAGATGGTAGAAATGTTATCAGTGATAATTTCCAGATTTTGATTGCTGCACTGTGGTGCTATTTGTCTGTATGCCATACTAAAGTATAAAGAGTTACAGAGCATCAGGATGGCACTTTACTCTCCAAATATTCCCTCCCACTCCCCAGGGAGATGCTATACCTGCTGCCCAGCTGGCACCACAGCCCAAGTATTGGTCCCCCCCTTTTGAAACAGGGGCCCAGAGGAGCAAAAGAGTACAGGACAGGGAGCTGAAATATTTGGGTTTAGGTTTTGGTTCTTAGCTTTCTAGTTGTGTGACACGGAGACACAGCCGGCTGCCTACCCTGCAAAACAGAAACAATAATACTTGCTTCAAGGGAAGGTTCTGAGCAGCACTATTATAAAAGTGAAAATCTGGATACTTAAAATACCCAACATTTGATGAACAGCCAAATAAATCATGGCACATCCTTACAGCCTAGTCACTAAACCTGATGTCTACAAAAATCTTTTCATGGCATGAGAAAATGTTCCCTAAATTACCAAGATTGGGATTCAAAAAACAGTTCTCAAAGATTGACCCACTAATGCTGCAAGTGACTGCATGACACCCTTTCTTACTTGCCTCAAGCTCCTCTGCGACCACACGAACCAAGCAATGGCCCTGCAGGTGGCCGGCCTCGGCCAGGCCTGCGGAGATCCAGGTCACACTCCGATGGGTCCGCAACACTCTGCGCACACACTCCCTCCATAAGCGGCACACGCTGGGGACGCAAATGCACAAAAGATTGCGAACGCACGTCCATCGCTCCTGCGGCTCAAAGCCCCCCACCCGTTGCGCAGCAGCAGGAGACGCCCGCGGGATCCAAGGCCCGGGAGAGCGCGCTGGTGCGGAGGGACGGCAGGCGCGGAGAAGTCCCAGCGGGACTTCGCCCTCAGGGAGCCCCGGGGAGCAGTTCGGCAGGCTAGTTCGCGGGTGGGGTCAGCCCAGGCAGGGAAGGGAGCCGGGCACACGCTGGGTCTCGCAAATGCTCCCGAGGGCCTCTGCCCCCCGCCAGCCCGGAACATGCCCAGGCAAGCTGCCCGCCTCCTCACCCGGCCGCTCGCAGCAGCGCCTTGGCGGGCAGGAAGGCGAACACACGCTCCACCACCTCCGCTAGGTTACTCAACACGAAGGTGCCCCGTGGGTCTGCGGAGGAGGAGCCGCAGCGGTCTCCACCGCCGCCCACCGGCTCCATTCCTCGCCAACCCGCCGTGGCAAGCGGTACGGCAGCCTGGAGGGACCCGGCTCGGCCCGCACGGAACTGCCGGGGCGGGCGCACTGAGCAGGCGCGCGCACCACTTCCGGCCGGGCAGGGAGGCGGGGCCGCGGCGGGGCAGAGCCGTTTCCGGCGCCGGTCTTGGGGCACCCGCATGTGCCCGGAAGTCAGGCCGGGTTCCAGCAGCCTGCTGGGACTTTTTAGGAGGCCTCCCGAGTCGAGATGCGTTCTCCCACTGCACCTGCGCTGCGTTTTCTTCGTTCACATCTTTGTCTAATCCATGAGTTCTTTTAAGGCAGGGAGTAGGTAGCATTATTATAGTCCCAATGCCTGTTAAATAACATGAGCCCGATTTTTGAACAAACAGCATGTTTTTAAAAAACTGCCAGTGTGTGAAAACCACTGCCTTTATTCAACACCTTGTGAACTTTGTCAACTGGTTATCACCTTCAAGTTTTGATGTGTAAAACGGCATAAATAGCACCTGGCTGAATAATTGCTGAGGAGAAGCCCCAAACCCGCACCAGTTCCACACCAGCAGTATGAGAATCACCTGGGAATTTAAGTGTTGGTACCTTCTCAATCCTTACTCCAGGCCTACTGAATCAGACACCGGGGGTTGAGGCCCAGCAATCTACGTTTTAATGAACCTTCCGGTCATTCTGATACATGCTCAAGTTGAGAACCCCCGACAAAAGGAATGGAAGCAGAGCAGACACAGCTGCGTGCCCACCTAACATCCGTCCTTCCAGAAGCCTCCTTTGCTGAGAGTGTCCTGATTTGATTCCCAGCTCTTGAGGGTAAACTTGATTAGTCTCAACTAGTGGTTCTCATTTTGGCCTCAGGACCCTTTTACACTCTTAAATACTGACATCACCAAAAAGCTTTTATGTGTGTTATGTCTATCAATATTTACCATACATAAAATTAAAATATCTTAATATTAATTTAAAAAATCAATTACACATTAACAAGATATTTTTATGGAAAATAACTATTTCTCAATCCTCCTCCCCCTAATATGACATCACCTTTACATTTTGCAAATCTGTAATTTCTGGCTTAATAGAAGACAGCTGGATTCTACTCTGCACATCACATGTCATGTAGCCTCTGGAAAACCCCACTGCACACTCATGAGAGAATGAGTGAAAATGGGAAATGTTTTAGTATTACAAAAAAATAGTTTTGACCATATAAACCTCCTGAAAGGGTCCCAGGGTTCCCCAAATCATGCTTTGAGAACCATTTGTCCAAACTGATCATGATGTTTCATTCTTTTCACTGGCCACTGGTTTAGAGGTGGGCACAGGCCTCTGTTCTAAATAAGGAAAAGCGAGAGGCAGTGTGCTTGGGGTAGGGCTTCCAAAGATTTCCTCACTTCCTAAGGAGACACTAGAAGAGAGGGCCATTACCTACCTCTACGCGGCTGGACCAAGTAAGGTGGCTGACATCCAAACATATCATTCAGTCAAAAGATGAAAACATGGAAAAATCTCAAAGCAGCAAAGCCCAGATATACTGTGCCTGGAGTTGTCCTACCCTCTGTATTTCTTGTCTGCCTGGAGTTGTCCTACCCTCTGTATTTCTTGTCTCTGAGATAACCTGACAACTGTGTGCAAGGAAGCCTTGGGTATGCCAAGAGGGAGGAGATGTTTGTGTCCAGGGGAATTAGGGATAGCTGTAAAGAAAGTAGCTCTTGAATTTATATTAAAGAATGAGTATGGAAGAGGAAAAGGCTGAGGAAAAGCTGAGTATATCAAGTGTGTATGCACCATTTCTAGGTTCTCTCACTTTCTCTTATTAAATCAATCTGCCTCTCTTCCTCTCAAGCCTCCCTTTACCCAATCCCCTCATTAAATATCCTATTCCAAGAAACTCAATAGAGCCTACAGACACCTGAAGCAGAGTATCTCTTATGATGGAAAAGTGACAAATTTTTAAATGGCTCTTTATTCATAAACTTGATGCAAGTTTACAAAATTTATTGTACATTGCCAAATAAATCTGCAATGAAAAATAGAATCCAAAAAAAAAGCATGCCAACTGTGCAGCTGTCAATCTGCTAGCCATCAGGATATTAAAGAATTCAATAATGTATTCAAGATTTAGCCTTAGGTTTAAGGAACTTAAGAAACTTTAATGCTTTAAAGAATTCTGCCTTGTCACTTGTTATCTGAATAACTGGCAATCAGAACTTTATATAAATGTAGCCAAGTGAACAAGAATACTAGAAAGTATTTATCTACTGCCCTCTTAACCAAAACAGAATCAAAAGAAATTAAACACACCCAATAATGCAGAAGTGCCAAGTCTCTTGGATACGGTTTACAAAGTTAAAAACCAAAAACAAATGCATAAGAAACACTTTTGAACTTTGTAACTGATTTGTGCAGAAAAGTGTGCTTCTGGATTTCTTTTTAAAAGTGCTTAATAACTACCATTTACTTTTAAATCCAACTTGGGTGTATAAAAAAATTGATTACCAACCACACAGGACTGATTCAGGTAAGGCAGTAAAATGGAGAGTACCTTGATTTGAGTCAGGTTTTATAAAAGAATTAACATATGTAGAGTTCCTATTAGTCTTTCAATGTAAAAGCCATTGTTATGACTATAGCAAAAAGTTTAAGAGTCTCCAAATTAGGTATCTTTTTGTACTTAACTGTGCAGTTTTTGCTCAAGGAGTCTTTGTGCCAATCACTTTGTAAGTTTATTAGTTTACTAATGATTGCAACATCCCGTTAATAAAATGGAAATGTAAAATGACTTAGTATTTTAAATAACTTCAAGTTCTATACTGTGGCTTTTCTTCATAAGAAATACTGAACCAACAAGAAGCAGATTCAGCCCAGCAAGACTCTGATGCCCCAGTGGAAATTACTACTTACAAGCCTTAATTGGCATAGCCTTGCTTTGCTTTGTCTAAAAGCACAATACAACTCGAATATATCTTCAGGAAATAGTTCCTATCTTCACATAGCCATAAAAAAATTTTTTAACAATTTAATGAGTAGGTTTCCTTACATTATTTTGGCAATATCATAAAATGGTTTTAGACCTCAAAGAGCTACTGTGATTTAGAAGACCTGAAATTTTCTAAACCAATACTGAACATCAATTAAACTTTTATTGGCTCTAAACAGAACAGTATCTTGCAAATCTTCATAACCTACGTGCTCAATATAGGAAAATTACCCTAAAGTTACATCTTCAGTAACCTGATGCTGACTCATCTGCTTAAAAGATTTCACTTTTCAAGAAAAAGAGATGATAAGGAGTGGCCAGTATGTGTATTATCAGGAAAAATACAGTAAAGGCCCCACTGCTCAGTCCAAGATACCTAAAATGAGCAAAATGAAAAGGCTGTAACTTATATTGGATGTCAGTTGACAGATTATCCACTAAAATATCTATTAGCTAACATCTTCGGTGCTGCTGTTATAGGGGCACTCAAAGCTTGTGTCTGCATGTTGGAAAGATTTTCTTTAAAGCAACATTGGTCCAAATGTATGACAGTCAACATATTTAGCCATCTTCCTTTGGAGGGGTGTACCAGCCTGAAACAGAATGCAAAAAAAATAAATAAATAAAAAGTAAGTTAAAATAATTCCTAAAACAACTAGGAGAACTGGCACTTATTAAGGTTAACTAGTCTCTAGTCATAATTTTGGTGTTTAAAGCTACTGTAAAAATTACTCTTATTCTTGGGTCAGTAACACTGCATTTTGATATGCTCACAATAGAAAGTTATTTTCTATGAATAAATTGTATTTGCATTTTCAACACAAGAGCTTTGTATTAATGGAATCCCTAACTAAATATGATGATGTGGAATATTAGACTACATGATAGATTTTATTCTATTTCAATTCTGTACTTGAAATTAAACTTCACTGAAAATAACTATTCCCAAACAAAATCCTGGCATTTTAGAATGAACTTGGATTGTCATCAGCACAATGATGTCATTTCACCAATAAGGAAGCCACCAAAACAGGTGCAGTGACTAAATGACTATGCCTAAGATCAGAGTTAGCAGCGGAAGCCAAACTAAACTCACCTCAATCTACTGTACGACATGGTGACTATAGTTAACAATATATTATATTCTTGAAAGATGCAGACAGAATGTAAAGTGTCTCACCACAAAAATAACTACGTGAGGTGATGCATATATTAGCTAGATTTAACTATTCCACAAAACATATATACTTCAAAACATCCATGCTGTACACAATAAATATAATTTTATCTGTAAATTTTTTAAATATAAGATTTAAAAATTAAAAAGACCTAGAATCCATCTCTCCTGATTCTGAATCTATTGCTCTTTCACCATGGCTAAGCTTACAAACTACCCAATACATAATTTTTTGTAAACATTTCTGAATGCAGGTTGTATAATGTTTGCTTTAAGAAAAAAATAAGAGAGAAGAAAAAATGTGACTGTTTCCCAGATTCCACCAATATCTATGCTCCCTATAGAAAGGCAAATTAGATTAAGTACTGTTTGGTACAAAACTGGCATTGGAACAGTATATCTATATTAATATTTGTAGAGCATCCATATAGTTAAGAAGTAGCATACAGGTTTCTTTGGATCTACTTATTTAGTGCGTCAGCAATGATTATGAAAACCTGGCCTTGTTCTCAAATTTTATCATTTTTCTCTTTGGCTTGAAAATTTTGTTTTGAATATTATAAGAAGTAAGCTATCACTGAATGAGTGACAAATTTGCTTTGTCATTAAAATGAAAGAGCACAAAACACAAATCTTAAGTCACAAACTGCCACATTTCTAGCAAAGTAAAGAACACTTTACAGGCTCTCACATGCACCTGTAGTCTTGCTACTCTGGAGGATAAAGCAGAAGGATCACGTGAGCCCAGGAGTTGGAAGCTACATTGAGCTATGATCACACCTGTGAATAGCCACCGCACTCCAGCCTGGGCAACATAGCAAGACTGTCTCTCAAAGTTTTTGAAAAAACACATCACTGTTAATACTCTCCTTAAAGAAAATCACTTCTGAGTATTTATTTTGCACAGAAAGGCAGTTTCATTACCACTGCTACAATGAATACCTTATTATCAGCACTTAGTGACAAAGTGGTACACATATACACTACTCTTTTTCTTCACAAGTTTGTCAAGACAGACATTATGTCTATTTTGGAGATGAGGAAACTGAGGCTAGAAGAGGACCATATGCTATGCTCAGGACCATAGACCCAGTGAGTGACAAATCTGGCACCTGAAAATAGGTATTCCAATTCCAAGTGTAGTTGGTTTTCTTAAATCTTACTGTTAGAGACAAACAAAAACAAAAACAAATGCAAAATGTGTATTGTAAATAAAGTACAAGCAAAATTTAAAGGCCAATAATGGTTATGAAAGATGCTTTAGGATTTAACTTTTTTGTTAATTTACTACTTATACTCAAGTGTATACTGAAATTAGAACTCATCTTACTTGAATAGATAAATGTATAAGATTGTCAAAAGCATTAAATATAGTCTGAAGATGTTTCAGAAAAAGCTGGCCATGATCCTGATTACATCTACTCAATTATAACAAGAACTCCACCTATAAACAGTGGCCTTTAACTCATTTCCTATCCTAATACCATAAATTTCAAGTGAGTACAGGGAGTCATCCATTAATCTACTTAAAAATCCTGACAGACGCAGAGGTACCCAGGCCAAGTGTTTAAGATACAAAGATTGTGAATGAAGCACAGTGATGTGAAAGGTTCACTGAAAGATTCTGAATGCAGCACAAGTTAAATTTTTTTCACTACGGTAATAGTACTTTAAGAAATTAAAGTAGGCCGGGCGCGGTGGCTCACGCCTGTAATCCTAGCTCTCTGGGAGGCCGAGACGGGCGGATTGCTCAAGGTCAGGAGTTTGAAACCAGCCTGAGCAAGAGCGAGACCTCGTCTCTACTATAAATAGAAAGAAATTAATTGGCCAACTAATATATATAGAAAAAAAAATTAGCCGGGCATGGTGGCGCATGCCTGTAGTCCCAGCTACTCGGGAGGCTGAGGCAGGAGGATCGCTTGAGCCCAGGAGTTTGAGGTTGCTGTGAGCTAGGCTGACGCCATGGCACTCTAGCCTGGACAACAAGTGAGACTCTGTCTCAAAAAAAAAAAAAAAAAAAAAAAAAAAAAAAAAAAAAAAAAAAGAAATTAAAGCAAAAACAGAAAATAAAACAGAATATCAATATATTATGTAAAACTTCATAAATGCCAATACATAATTATTGAATTAAACATACCATTTTTCTCATGTATCTGTACAATGGAATTATAGGATTGTTGAGCTCTTGCTAGATTATATTGATTCTGAAAGAGAATTATACATTTTAAATCAAAACTAACTAGATGAAAGTCATAATAAATTTATGAATGCATCAATGCTGTGCTTAAAAGAACACAGGAAATAGAATTATATTTTCATTTCAAAAACAATTTTAACTTAAACTCTCATTTCTCAATTTCATTATTTACAATTTTGTAAAAATAACAAAACCAAAATTGTACTCCAATAAAAATGTACAAGCTTCACAGTTCATTAGTGTAAGTCTTCCTACCATTGGACAAGCACAAGGCTTTTTAGTTCTAGTCTTCCTCTTCCATACTGATGAATCAAGTAAAAGGATGCTATTTGGACATGAGTAAAACTCAAACTCTCTTCCTCATAACTTCTATCCAAATTTATATACATATAAAACTTTCAGAGGAGAAAATATTAAGCTTCAAGGGCTACACATATGAATGACAATTTGAAGTAGAAATCTAAAGAATGCCTGTAACTGGCACCAAGCCATTACTAAAGGAGTCCTCTTTTGGTAAAAATATAGAATTTTTTCTAAGGAGTCAAATCTAGGATCAATTTTGTCACCGTAAATACAACCGACCTACATCTTAACTTCCAATTAAGATATTAATATCATGAGTATTCACCATAGTGGTACATACCTAACATATTGTCATAGAATTTTTTTTGAGTAATTAATTCACACAGTACAAGAATGGAAAATGTATTAAAAAAATTCTAAGTGAAAATTCTCCTTCCTCTCTGTCCCCCAACCACCCAGTTCCCCTAATTCATCCGCCTTCCTCCACTAAGTTAATCACTGTTACTAGTTTTTTGTATGACCTCTTTAAGATTATGCAAGAAAACTCATGTATGGCCCATTGTTATTAGCCATCGTACCCTGCTTTTCCTCAACAAACGGTTCATGCTATAGATATTGTTCTGCCTCTTTTCTCATTTATCATACCTTGGAGCTTGTTCCATATCAGTATACAGAAAGCTTTACCTTTCTTTTTATAGTGAAAAATTTCTGTTGTATGGATACTCAAAGTCAGTACTGGTGGACATTTCGGCTGTTTTCAATATTTTGCTATTACAGTGTTACAATGAGCAACTCTGTACACATATTTGCAAAGTACTAGTAAAAATGTCCCAGAGTGGAGTTGCTGGGTCACAAGACTTACATGCCTTTGCAATTTTCAGATATTGCTAAACTGCCCTCTATAGGTCTATATAAATGTGCTTTCCCACTAGCCATCTATGAAAATACCTGGATACTGCCTGGCCAATATATATTTCATCAAACCTTTGTGATTTTTGACAACATACAAGTTGAAAGATGGACTCTCAGTGTAGTTTTGATCTGCACTTCTATTTTTCAGTGAGGTTGAGCATGTCTCTGTATGTTCACGAGCCATTTCTTTATTAGACTTTTTACATTCTTTTCCCATTTTTCTACAGGATAGTCTTTTTTAATTTCTAAGAGTTCCTTAAAGTACCAAAGCCCTGACATAACACATCTAGTAAACTAAAACATATAAAACAAGCAGTATTATTTTCTCAAAGTTAATGAAAACTGTGTTTTTCAGTCTGTATTTTCACAAAAAGGACAAAAACGAAAGCATGGAAACGGACCGTACATAACACAGCACACACACTCTGAAACCCCGTGACGGCAGAGCAGTTATGTCCATCCCACCCTGCCCACCGCCCGAGGCACAGGAGAGAAGGCGGCCTCCCCACGCCCAGCTGGCAATGGCCAGGTGCTCAGGCTGGTCTAACGGGACTCACAGGGATGTTCGGCAGAGGCTTTGCTGGGATGTGCAGTTGGCCCTTTCTGTTTTGCTAACTCACTGATTTCTGCTTATGTCTTTGTTTCTCCATTCTGTTTTCCTTCAGGTTACTTGATTGTCCTTTCTGAGTTAGAGGCTTGACTCATTTTAATTCTTTTTTTAATAAGGATCTTAAGGCTGTGAATATTCTTCTGAGCTCTCCTTTAGCTTGTGATAAGTAATGATTGCATTATTGCTAATCCCTAAATAGTCTGCACTTTTAATTTCAAATTCCCATTTGACTTAAGGGTTACTGGAGTGAATTTTAAAATTCCACAAAGAAACATTTGTTTTCTGGTTTTGTTATAACTTACAGTTTTACTTAATTAGGGTCAGAGAATGACATCTGTCCTTTTTCTACTTTTCATAATTTGAGGTTTTCTTTATGGAACAGGATTAGCTTCCTGAATGTTTCAGATAGAGAGGGAAAGAGAGAATATTCAATATTGATAGGGAGAGATAGAGTGAAGAATAGATAGAATTTTAGTATTTTAATTATGGTTCAATTCCAACTATTTTTAAATTTTCATTTGATTTTTTAGCCAAATATTTAGAAGTATGTTTAATTTCCAAATTCATGTAGGTTTTTATTAGTCTCTGCATTACTGCATTCTAACCTTAATTGTATCATTTAAGTTATTATTATTTATATGGTACCAATTGTTTTTAAATCTTTTGACTTGCTTTATGGATTAATATATGAAGAATTTTTCCCCTATATTCCATATATGTTTGAGAAGGACATATAATGTCTAATTATTGGGTACAGAGTTCTATGTTTATCCATTAGACCATTACTGTTAACTGGTTACTCAAATCTATATTTTGACATTTTATTTAACTTACCATAAGCAGAGTATGTTGAAATCTCCAACTATGGTGGTAGACTTGTCAATTTGTCCCTGTGGTTTTAACAGGTTTTTCTCTGTATTTTGAGGCTATTTTGATAGGTACATGAGCACAAAAATTGCTACAGTCTCCTAGTTCATCTGAGACTTTTATCATTTAGTTCACTAATATTTTCTGTTCCAACATCCTATTTTGTTTAATAGATAACTAGAGCTACATCACCCTATTTTTGATTAATGTATGCATATCCTTATCACACCCTTCCCCCTTCATAAAAAAAACTTTAAATCTTTTTGTATCCTATTTTAAATACACTCCTTAAAAATAGCTGGAATCTGTTTTGTTAATTCAATTTAACTGGTAACTATAGTTCATTTACATTTGTTATGACTGATGTATGTGAACTTGCTTCTGTCACCTTTGTAACTTCTATTTCTCTCACTTTTTAACATGATTTTAAGTATTTCCTCCTGGGATTCCACTAAGCCTATCTTAGACTTTACTCATCTCTTTCAACATGTGCCATATTATCTATCCCCATGTAGTCTCTGTGCAACATTCTGAATTACTTCTTTGGAGATATCGTCTAATCAATTTTCTCTTCTGATAGATAATCCCTCTATTGAGTTTCTCATTTCAACAACTATATTATTTCTATAAGTTCTATTTCATTGCTTTTCAGATCTTTCTCATAATTCCTGGTGGTCTTATTGCTTGTCCAATTTTATGAATTCCATCTTTTTCTTTATATAAGATTTCACACATAACTATTTTCTCACAACTCTAATATCTGATGCCTCTGTTCTGTATCTGAAAATTCCAAAACCTATAGTCTTTGGGAATACATGTCTATTGTTCATGATTTCTGCCAATTCTCCTATATGTTGGGTGGCCTACTTGAATGCTATCTTTGATGAATTCATATTTGCTTAACTTCACTTTTTGGGAATCCTGCAGGCTTAAATAGGAGATGCTTTCCTCCCAGAAAGTATCTGTGTCTGCTTCTGATGAGAGCCATGGATACAACTAACATGAGATCATTTTAGTCCCCCAGAGAATCTCAGGGTTATGCAAAGTTCTCAGATCTGGCTCTGTAAGCTTGCTACTTTATAAATAGAAGACCAGACTGCTTCGTATTGGTAGCCACTTGCTCCCTCCTGCCTTGCACAAAACAAAAACAAAACAGATCTCTCACCTGAATGTGATAACTAGGGGATTATGTAGGTGAATCACTGGAGGTCTGCAGGCAGTGGGGGAAGGTAAGTGCCCTTCCTGACTAGAGAAATAGGTCAGGAGCTGCCCCAAGGGTTGTGTGCTCCAAGATTTCACTGTAACTCAACTACCATTCTGTCCATAATAGTGAATGGAAGCTTCTTTGAGCACTATCTTGCCTTTAAACCCCAAATTCCTGCTAGAAGTCACGATAACAGACCTCTGCTTTGGAAGGCTTTCTCACTAGTATGTCCTAGAGTTGATGTTACACCCTGTGGTTCATGTTAACTGAACAGAAAATCAGCCTGATCAATATCCTTCTACCTCATAGCTGGCTCTCAGCTCCTGCTGGCTAAGCCTACGAGAGCCAGACTGGTCCCAATTCTTGCTCTGCTACCCATAACCTTATCAGTTTTGTCATCTACAAAATGAGGACAATAGCAGCATCAACCTTTTAGATTATTAAGAGGATTGAAAAAATTAATATATGTAAAAATTCAGACTAGAGCCTAGCACATAAAGCTCATTAATAATTAAGTACTGGCCGGGCGCGGTGGCTCAAGTCTGTAACCCTAGCACTCTGAGAGACTGAGGCAGGCGGATTGCTCAAGGTCGAGTTCGAAACCAGCCTGAGCAAGAGTGAGACCCCGTCTCTACTATAAATAGAAAGAAATTAATTGGCCAACTAATATATATAGAAATAATTAGCCGGGCATGGTGGTGCATGCCTATAGTCCCAGCTACTTGGGAGGCTGAGGCAGCAGGATTGCCTGAGCCCAGGAGTTTGAGGTTGCAGTGAGCTAGGCTGACGCCACGGCACTCACTCTAGCCCGGGCAACAAAGTGAGACTCTGTCTCAAAAAAAAAACAAAAAAACAAAAAAAAAAAAAAAAAAAAAAAAAAAAAAAAAACTGTACATATTTTTATAGTATTCAGAGATGGTATTTTGTATTTCCATGGTTTCAGTTGTGATTTCTCCGTTTTCATTCCTGATTGAGCTTACCAGAGTCCTTTCTTTTCTGCTTGTGGTTAATTTAGCAAGAGGCCTGTCAATTTTGTTTATCTTTTCAAAGAACCAACTTTTTGTTTCATTAATCTTCCATACAGTTCTTTTGTTATCGATTTCATTTAGTTCTCCTCTGATCAAGGTTATTTATTTTCTTCTGGGTCTGGGATTGGTTTTCTCATCCTTTTCCAGTTCCTTGAGACAATTAATTAGATTATTGATTTGTGATCTTTCTGTCTTTTGGACGGAGGCATTTATGGCTATGAATTTTCCTCTCAGGACTACTTTAGCTGTATTTTGATAACCTGTGCCCCCCCCTTATCATTTAGTTCAAAGAATCTTTTTATTTCCATCTTAATTTCCTCCTTGACACAACTACCATTTAGCAGTATATTGTTTAGTTTCCATGACTTTGTGTACAGATGAATGTTTCTGTTGAAGTTGATTTCTAACTTTATTTCACTGTGCTGTGAGAAGATGCATGGTATAATTTCTATTTTTTTAAATTCATTGAGACATGCTTTGTGACCCAGGATGTGATTAATCTTAGAGAATGTTTCATGAGCTGATGAGAAGTGGTTTTTGGGTAGAATTTTCTATAAATGTCTGTTAGGCCCATTTTTTCTAGAGTTCTGTTTAAGTCCATTGTTTCTTTGTTTATTTTCTGTTAGGAGGATCTGTCCTGTTCTGTCAGAGGGGTGTTGAAGTCCCTGCCTATTACAGTGCTTCTGTTTATGATTTTGTTTATTAGATCAACTAGTATTTGCTTTATGAATCTGGGCTCACCTGTGTTAGGCACGTAAATATTTAGAATTGTTTATGTCTTCTTGTTGAATTGTTCCCTTTACCATTATATAATGACCATCTTTGTCTTTCCTTACTTTTGCTGATTTGAAGTCTACATTATCTGAGAACTGCTACATGTTTATAATAAATATAAGACAAAAAGAACAGATACTAAATAATTAAGTGATTATCAATGAGTATCTTCAATTTTCTTATACTTAAGTTTTCTATAGATCTCTTCTGTAACAAGAACCAAATGAAAATGAAATTAATTGTCTCAAGAAGAATTAAGTCAACACAATGAAGCCTCACAAAGTAACAAAACATTTATGTAAAGTTCTTAATAAAAGTACCTTATTTGCTCCAAACTGTACTCTGGCTTTGCCTTTGACTAAGGTGGCATTTATTTGCATGATGACGGATTCTATTGAGTAGGCACTGCTCCAGCCCTACAGGAAGAAGAAAACACAGTAATATTCTTCATTCCCACTTGGAAAAGCCTAATGAAATGGCATATAACAACTCATCAATAGCAAATTGGTTTTAAGAAGTTTGTAGTCAAAGGAACAAAGTAAAACTGGACCATTTCCAGAATCTCACAAAAAAATAAAAACCTACATTCTAAGGGCCTACCATGAGCAAATTATAACCTTAAAATAATATCACTCTTAATGCCTATCCTAGCACAGATTCAGCACCAAGTACAATGTCATTTTATTGGTTTACCTTAAACAGCTTTTTATTAAAAGTAGATGCTATTTAAATAAAACTAAATTTTTTAAAAGTAGGAGCTATTACATAAGAACTTTTCTACTTAGAATCTAACTGCATAATCAAAACATTATTGAGGCTGACAATTGAGTACCACAAGAAAATAGTTACCTGTTTTGTGAGAAGTTCCATACATAATGCTCCTCCACCCAACACATACCTTAAAAAGAAAAAAGAATCATACAAAATTCTCTTGATCTCAATATTCCTTCTCAAACAATTTTTAAACTACCATTACTTAGAAAGTATGTATACAAGCAAAGATTAGAACATGCAAAAATGAAAATAGCTGTTAGGGATATAGGACTATGGGTAAAAGTGTTAGTGTCATTGCTATAAATCTAGGCAATTCTTAAAACAATAATGGTCCTTAGAACAGAATACTTTTAGACTTCTATGATACCAGAAACTAATAACTTAGCCCTAAACATTCCAAAGAATGGGACAGAAGAACCAGTTTTCTTAAAGGGCATTCAAGTGTTCTTTACATCTTAAGCTTTCTCTACCATTATGTCATACAACCAAGAGTTTTTCCTCTAACAGTGGCACCAACCTTACCCTACCCATAATAATGAACATCAGAATGTATTTTATGGTTTAAGTTTTTATCCACTCTGTTGTCAAAATCAAATGGTTCTGACCATGAAGTCTCTCTCAGAGACCCAATTCTGTTTGCAAGCCAGAGGACTGCTCTCTGAACCAAAGGCAACTCCTATGGATTACTCAGATCTCCCTTTAGGAAATCATTATTTAGATCAAGATTCTTCAGCCTTTTAACCCTTTCTCAAACAAAATAATTTCATTTCTCCCTAATGTTACTTGAAATTTCAAAATACATTAAATAAAATCAAAGGAATGATAAATTTATTAGAAAAACTGTGGTAATTTTGAAAACACAAAAGTTATGACCACCGATTAGGTCTATGTGAACAGAGTCCACCACAACTGACCTGTTCTCTGGAGCTTTGCTTTGCCCATGCCTTTCCCTTACCAGAGATTCCTTCTGCTTCCTTCCAAATGCCATACTTTCCCCCCATAAAACCTGCCAAGACCATTCTAGCCTGTGAATCTTCCATTCCACTAACCAAATGCATCCTCGTGTTGACTAAACCAAATTACTTTGCAGTGAAGTAAGGAATCCAAAAACTACTACTGTAGAACATTAACAATAGTAATTGTTATAGTGAAATTATTCAATAATGAAAAGAGAGAAAGAAGTATTCTTCAACTCCCCCATCCTGGAGAATTCAAGCAAGTATATCTTACTTGCCTTGCCCAAACCCTGTGACCTTTCAAAGTGAAAGTTTAATAGTAGGGAAAGAAAACCTAAGAAAAACACCCCCCAAAATTTAATTTGGGTGAAGAATCATGGGATTAAAAAAAAAACAAAAAACTTCTGCATATTCTCTTATATTCCTGAAACAAATCTATCTCCAATTCTGTGAATCTCTTACTGAGCTAAAAGAGTATCTTGTATATAATGAGCACTTCCTGATTTAACAGAATTAGAAGATCTAGGTTCTCATTTAGATTTTTGGTTCCACAACTGCTCAAAGTATAGTGATCTGTTAGCAAGTTAACACTATACTTGTTCTATACATTCTGGAAAAGTTAAAGGTAGATAGGGACTTGTTTTAGGAAAAGGAAGTATGTAGTACACACTAAGTTACCTATTATCCAACTACCACTGTTCCTTTAAGTACACCACTCTTCCTATGGAGGAGTTCAGAGTCTCATTGGGTGGGAAGAAAGGAAATTTTTGCATTTCCAGGTCAAATAAAGTGCATTTGTACAAGTACATGATACCTACACAAATGTTTGCTGGATGTCTAAACCCCAGACGAAGTAGTTCTAGTACCTACATAAAAAGTGAGATTCAGTAAACATTTCCTTAATATACACTATTGACAGCATTTACACCTAAAAGAAGTGGTTAATTCTACTTCTGTACTGAATTATCCATTTTATCAATATGTGTTCCAAACTCTTATTGCTCTTTGCCTCCAAAGAGTTCCTGAGACAGTTCATGGACACTAAGCAAAAAAAAAAAAAACAAAAAACAATAATAATAACCTAAGAGTCATCAAAGGATAATATGCCATATACATGAATATAGTAATACTTTAACTTAAAAATTTTCAGTTGCCAAAGTTGTGTAGCAAGTGCTATCCTAAGCTCAGCCTCTCTAGGCATTCAGTTTATAATTATTATAAAAGATATCAGCCAGAAAGGCCACATTTTATGATTCTATTTATAGGACAGGCAAATCTAGAAAGACAGACAGTAGATTAGTGGTTGCCAAGATCAATGATGAGAGAGATGGGGATAGGGAGTGACTGCTAATGAGTATGGAGTTTCTTTCTGGGGCGATGAAAATGTTCTGAAATTAGGTAGTGATAATGGTTGCATGACTCTAAATATACTAAAAACCACTGGATTGTACACTTTAAAACGGTGAGCTTTATCTTATTAATACATGAATCATATCACAATAAAGCTGACAGTTTAAAAAAATTTGCCCATGTCAAGAATTAAATAGGGTAGTAGCTAGAAGACATGGTATAAAAAAATATGAAACAAAAAGTGCTTGATAATCTACCCAAAATTACACAATGCTTAAACTTTACCTTAATTCTGAGATTGCAAGCTCTGATTTTTATCAGTATTTCACATTTTTTAGCTCTCCATTTTTTAGTTTTTATTAACAGTTCAGCCAATAATTCTTCTACCTCATTTAACACTTGACTATGAAGACCGAATCACTGATTCTGCCTCAATTGAGCTTTTCACTCCTGTTTCCCTTCCTGTTACTACTGCACAATTTAGGTTCCCACCCCTTCACTCAAAGACAGCAGCACGGGCTCTCAACTAATGTCATGTCCTGGGCTTTGTGAGCAGTTTGTCTTGTAGTCTATTCTACTGCCACCAGATTTATCTTTCTAAAACATTTTCTTTACTGTTATTCCCTTGTTCCTGCACCAGTCGTGGAAAGATGAATTCAATGCACTGGGATAACAGTTTGTTTACAAGGAAAAAAACAAAGATATGTTACCAGCTCTATGGTGCTATGTTAGTAAAAGATATGTCAGCACTATTTCTTACAACTCTTCTGTATGAATCCTACCCACCTTGTGCTAGAGCTCAAACTGGTCTAGTATACTCTGAATATATTATACTCTTTCCTAGATATGTGATTGTGTTTACTTTTTACTGATCTAAATAATTTTCCTTCAACCTCCACCAGCTGACCAACCCCACTCATATTTCCAGTCCCAGCTGAGATTCCACCTACTTCATGGAGTCTTCCCAGATCACTACTGCCAGAGCAACTCTTTGCTCCTTTAAACCTCAGAGAACTTAACTCCATACTTAACATTTGACGTTCAGCGCTCTTAATCCCCTTTTATACAGCTGGCATTTGGTATAATGGAAAACACTTTCAGGGATCAGAAGATTATTTGGACTAATCGCAAGCTGACTTATTACTCAGATTTTTCATTTGAATAATGAGGATAATAACCCCATTATGGCAAAAAACAATCAATGAAGAGACGCTATTTAACAGATTTTAAAACTGAAAATGGAATTATTCCTAAGTTCATGTATTTGTCTCTACTACTGGGAAATAGTAAACTATTTAAGATCACAAACTTAAAATTCCTGGGATTTCTCACAACAAAATGTGAAAAACCTATGCTAGTCAATTTTATAATCAGATTTCAAAATGCTTCGAAGTATTTTTATCCATTTATCTTGAATTTACAGAATTTTTCCAAATCCTTTCCTTGATTTTTTTTTCTCTTGAATAAGATTTAACAAAAAATAACCTTTCCTTTCCCATATTTACGGGAATTTTGAGTAAACATACGATTTTATGAACAAGCACAAAACTAAAGCACCACAGTATGCCTTCTCCCCAATCAGTAAAGGCTTCATAAAAAAGATATCTTCACATGAAACAATGAAAAACACAAGAACTACAACTTGGTGGCTACTAAAAGGCTGGTGTTGTGAGCAAGAGACACAAAGGCTGAAAGATGATCATTTTTCACTCCTAGGTTTGTTTTGCCTATGTAAATATTTGGCTGGGATACTTAACATTTCAGCTTCCAAAATTCATCATGAGGCTTTATAACAAGAGAAGTTTTTATAACACTTTTACTGCCTAATCCAAAACAGTCTAGGACAGCCTTAAAGGTAACAAAGTGAAATTTTACACAATTCTACACAACTTTGTTTCATGCTCAATTAACCTGTGAGTTCCACAAAGTTGTGATCAATGTTGTAACAATCTGTCAAAAAAGGGACCCCTAAAGTAAACCCACATTACGTCAGCTTTTCTTGCTCAGCAAGAAACATATGGGAGTCACTTGGAACTCTAAAAGTCTTTTTTTCTTTTTTGAAATTTCAGAATGTTACAGGGATACAACCCTTTTGGTTACATATATATTGCCTTTGCATCACCCAAGCCAGAGCTACTAGGGCCCATCCCCCAGACAGTGCATTCCACACTCATTTGTTACGAATTTACCTATCCCCTCCACACCCCTCCCACCTGCCCAGCACCTGATCAATATTACTTTCATGTGTGCACCTAAGTGTTGACCAGTTAGTACCAATTTGAGGTGCGTACATGTGGTGCTTGTTTTTCCTTTCTTATGACACCTCACCTTCAAAGAATGGGCTCTAGCTCCAAACAGGATAATATAAGAGGTGCTAGATCATCATGGTTTTTTGTGGCTGAGTAGAACTCCATGGTATACATATACCACATTTTATTAATCCACTCATGTATTGATGGGCAATTGGGTTGTTTCTACATCTTTACAACTGGGGATTGTACTGCCATAAACATTTAAGTGCAGATGTCTTTGTTATAAAATGACTTTTTTTTCTTTCGGCAGACTGCTGGATCAAATGGCAGTTCCAGTTTTAGTTCTTTAAGATAGCTCCGGCCGGGCGCTGTGGCTCACGCCTGTAATCCTAGCTCTTGGGAGGCCGAGGCGGGCGGATTGCTCAAGGTCAGGAGTTCAATACCAGCCTGAGCAAGAGCGAGACCCCGTCTCTACTATAAATAGAAAGAAATTAATTGGCCAACTGATATATATATATCAAAAATTAGCCGGGCATGGTGGCGCATGCCTGTAGTCCCAGCTACTCGGGAGGCTGAGGCAGGAGGATCGCTTGAGCCCAGAGTTTGAGTTGCTGTGAGCGTAGCTGACGCCAGCGCACTCACTCTAGCCTGGCAACAAAGTGAGACTCTGTCTCAAAAAAAAAAAAAAAAAAAAAGATAGCTCCAAATTACTTTCCATAGGGGTTATACTAATTTGCAGTCCCATCACAGTGTAAGAGTGTTCCTATCTCTCCACACCGATGCCAGCATTTGTTGTTTTGGGACTTTTTAATAAAAGCCATTCTCACTGGAGTTAAGTGATATCTCATTGTGGTTTTGATTCTCATTTCCCTGATTATAGATGTCGAGCACTTTTTTATTATTTATAAAAGCACTTATTTAATTTTTTTTTTTGAGACACAGTCTCACTTTGTTGCCCAGGCTAGAGGAGTACCGTGGCGTCAGCCTAGCTCACAGCAACTCAAACTCTCGGCTCAAGCAATCCTACTGCCTCAGCCTCCCGAGTAGCTGGACTACACGGCATATGCCACCATGCCCGGCTAATTTTATTGATATATATATATCATAAATGATGGTGATGATATGTGTAAATAGTATATAAAGTGAGTAGTATAGTAAATAAAGTGATGATGATATTGGTGATACTGAATTTATATAAATATGGTGATACGTGAAGGTGAGCTGAGTGTAGGTATATATTAGTTGCCAATTAAATTTCTTTCTTTGTTTGATATTGAGAGAGTGCTGCGCGTGCAGCGTGGTTTTGAACTCCTGACCTTGAGCAATCCGCCCGCCTCGGCCTCCCAGAGTGCTAGGATTACAAGCGTGAGCCACCGCGCCCGGCCAATAGCACTTATTTATTACTCTGTCTTCTTTTGAAAAGTTTTGGTTCATGTCCTTTGCCCACTTTTTAATGTGATTGTTTGATTTTTTCTTGTTAATTTTCTTAAGTTCTATATAGATTCTAGTTATCAGCCCTTTATCGGATGTGGAGCATGCAAATATTTTGTCCCATTCTGTAGGTTGTATATTCACTCTAATAATGGTTTCCTTGGCTGTGTAGAAGCTTTTTAATTTGATCATGTCCCATTTATTTATTTTTCTTGTTGCTGTGATTGCTTTGGGGGTCATCTTCATAAATTCTTTGCCTAGGTCAATGTCTGTAAGAGTTTTCCCAACATTTTCTTCTAGAATTCTTATAGTTTCAGTTTAAGTCTGTTATCCAATGTGAGTTGATTTTTCTGAGAGGTGGGGATCCACTTTCAATCTTCTGCATGTGGCAATCCAATTTTCCCAGCACCATATATTGAATAGGGATTCTTTTCCCCAGTGTATATCTTTGTCTGCTCTGTCAAAGATTAGATGACAAGATGAGGATGGTTTTATATATCTGGGTTCTCAGTCCTGTTCCAAAGGTTTATATCTCTGTTCTTATGCCAGTACCAGGCTGTTTTGGTTACTAATAAATTTCTAATATAGAGTAGCCTTTCCAAAGAGCAAACCAGAGGACACCATCCTCTTAGATGCTGTGGGGTAAAAAATTATGACTTAAATAAATTTGGGAAAAGCTGTTTAACAGCATCTTAGAAAGCCACATTAAAGTTCCAAGAAGTCCTTTGGTAAAGAATAGTTTGAGCTTTTTGGTAAAGAATAGTTTGAGCCTGGTTTCCCAAAATCCTGAAATCCTCTCAAAACTAATATCTATTAATCTATCACTATACTAATGCTCACAGAACATTCTGGGAGATGGGGTAAAAGATAAGGCTGCAGGTATCAGGTAAGCAAACCCTCAAGAAGCAGTATTACTGGCCAGGCGCGGCGGCTCACACCTGTAATCCTAGCACTCTGGGAGGCCAAGGCAGGAAGATCCCTTGAGCTCAGGAGTTCAAGGCCAACCTTAGCAAGAGCAAGACCCCATATCTCTACTAAACACAGAAAAATGAGTCAGGCATCGTGGCACATGCCTGTAGTGCCAGAAACTCGAGAAGCTGATACAGGAGGATTGCTTGAGCACAGGAATTTGAGGATGCAGTGAGCTATGATGACGCCATGACGCCACTGTACTCTAGCCAGGGCGAGAGGGGAGGGGAAGGGAGGGGGGAAGAGGAGGGGAGGAGAGGGGAAGAAAGAGAAGCAAAGCAAAGCAGTGTTAACTTTACTGTGTTGCAGAACTCAAAATGGGCTCAGCACATCCATATGTAATATTAAACTTTTTTTTAAACCATGCTTTTTATTTACCCTGAACTTTACACATAGATACCATGCCCAAGTAACTATTCTGTAGTATCAACACTATAGTGAATACATACTCTGACTATACAGAAACAATTCTTAATAAGATTTGAGTCCAAAAAACATAGAAATAAGCATGTAAAGCAAATATAACTAAAAATAGTAAGTGCAGGAGCAAACCACTTCTGCAGAAAATTCTGAAGTCTTTAAATAGTCACCAATATTTTCACCCTAAATGTAATTATGACTATTTCAACTGCAGAAATGATCAAAGGAAGGTCTTCATATTTTTAGGTTTTAATCATGATAATGTGGATTATCTCACAAAATGGAATTAGTCAGCTGAGTATTTGAAAATTCTCAAATTAGTTTAATTGCTCCTACACTGAGGGTCTACAGAACGTTTCATAACTAACCTGAGTACAAATGCTGATCTTTTCCCCGCCGTCGTAAGACTTCTAATCCCAAAAAAGCATCAATACAAACTTCAGTAAAACTATATAACAATTACCATTTGATTCTACTGAACTGCAACTACTACCTCTAGAAAGAACTAGACAGCCAGTTCCAAAGGCCTGTGAAATTTCCTGTGATTAAACCTAGTAGCGATCATAGGCATGTGGGAATCATACTCTAATAACTTCCTTTAAACCTTCAATCACAATTTATATTTGAAAAATATTTGTGGTTTTTTTTTTGTGGTAAAATATATATAAACAGGAACCATTAAAAAATCTACCTATAAACAACAAAATGATTTATAACCAAAGGCTCTGAATGTGAGCCCCCAGACCAATAGCATCAACTTCACTTGAGAACTTCTTAGAAATAGAAATGTAAATCTTCAGGTCCACCCCAGATCTAAATAAAAAACCCTGAGACTAGCTCTCCAAATGTTGCACACTATTAAAAAAAAAAAAAAAAAAAAGTAGGCCGGGAGCGGTGGCTCACGCCTGTAATTCTAGCACTCTGGGAGGCTGAGGAGGAAGGATTGCTCCAGGTCAGGAGTTCCAAACCAGCCTGAGCAAGAACGAGACCCCACTTCTATTTAAAAAAATAGAAAGAAATTAATTGGCCAGCAAAAAATATATAGAAAAAATTAGCCGGGCATGGTGGCGCAGGCCTGTAGTCCCAGCTGCTTGGGAGGCTGAGGCAGAAGGATTGCTTGAGCCCAGGAATCCGAGGTTGCTGTGAGCTAGGCTGACACCATGGCACTCTAGCCCGGGCAACAGAGTAAGACTGTCTCAAGAAAAACCAAAAAACCCCACAAACAAACAAAAGTAATCATTTAAACTTACCCTCCTGAGAGAACAGGTAACACCACTCGAACAAATGGAGGATCAAATGGAAAATTATCCTAAAAAACAAATAAGTTTAATTAATTTTAAGAACATATTTAAGACTATTTTCAGAAAATTTTGAGCCAATAAATAATATGTACATCTACTATCAGATAATGAGTGAGGGTCATAAAGTTAGTACCAAAAAACAAAATGAAGTGAAAACAAAAGCAAATAAAAATGAAGTTAGATCAGGCCCAAACAGAACTGTTGTGATAAATTTATGAAATATAGGAAGGGGTTCCACTTCCAAAAGAACTATAAGAAGGGACCATTCCAATAATGATAAACTGGGTAACTCAGATCAATCTTCTGGCTGAAAACTAGAAAAGGCAGGCAAAACGTGACAGTTACAGGGCTGAGAGCACAAGAAAAGGAGACCAGAGAGCAGGCTTTTTCCCCTTAGGTTTTCGTCCAATTACAGAAGAGAAAGACAAGAGGTTAACAAGCTAAGGAGAAGTCACAGACCAACAAGGAGATAAAAATTGGAGCTCAGGGTCCAAAGAGAGGCCCTGATAAGTCTCCCACACTGTAGGCTGGGACCCCACAGGACAAACTGCAAACTGCCCAATGAAGTCCAGCTCAAATCATTTCAATTTCCAATCAGATAAGGTGATCCCAGGTTGCTAATACCCAATGGTAAATCCTTCCTGGAGGAGAATATTATCTAAGGCTTCCACTTAGTTCTATAACTTTTCATACGTAATGTCTATCACTAAAAATAATCAGCCATGGGACTTACAAGACGACATGGTCAGAAAACAAGAGGCACAAACAACAGACAGGAAACCACAGGGAGCAAGATAACAGTGTTAAAACACTGATGGATATGTGCAAGGAAAGGCAAGGCAAGAGGGAAAACCTGAAGAGAACTGCAAAAATTGTAAAAATGAACCATACGGAAATTCTGACATTTAGAAATGTAACAACTGCAATAAATAACTTAATGGATAAGTTTAACTACAGCAGAAATGCAGAGATTCAGTCAATTGGAAAATAGCAGAAAGACAAAACGGTGAAAAATGCAGAAAATAACACAAGATAATATATAGAAAAGGTTTATCACATACATAGAGTCCCCGCAGGAAAAAAAGAATGGGACAGAGCAGTATTTGAAGATACGGTTGCCGAGAATTTTCCAAAACTGATCAAAGACTTCACAAGATTTAACCACCATAAATACTTCAAGAGGAAGTAGAGGCTATGGTAAGAGAATATATCTTCAAGGTGCTGAAAGGAATCACCAACCTAGAAATCTATCCTCAATGAAAATACTCTGCAAAAACGAAGTAAAAATAAAGGCATTTTCCTATCTACAGGCCCACACTAAAGGAAATACTTAACGGGTATTTTCAGGCAGGAGAAAGATAATCTAGATGAAAATTTGGAGAAGAACATAAGAAGAGCAAATAAGCATGCAGATATAAGTGGACAATGACTATTACATAATAATTATGTGTAGGGTTTTAGATAAGTATAGAACTCTCTGCTTGCCCTCGAATAAGATTCTGAGAAACATAAAAACTATGAAAATTCAATCCTACTAACAGGAAGATACGTGTATTTCTGATGGCTAAAGTAGATAATCTTAGACTTCTACAAGTTAGGAAAAGAAGAAACCTACCCACAACACAAGATACCAACTTAATGACAGTTGTTACGATCTACTTTCAAACAAGCAGCTCACCTTTTATAATATCTACAATTTAACAGACATAATGAAAAGAATAGATGCAAAGCTTGGTAAAGTACAACCTCATTTAATCTCCATTCATTCATTCATTCATTCATTCATTTAGAGACAGAGACTCACTTTGTTGCCCAGGCTAGAGTGAGTGCCATGGCTCATAGTGAGTGCCTAGCTCATAGCAACCTCAATCTCCTGGGCTCAAGCGATCCTACTGCCTCAGCCTCCAGAGTAGCTGGGACTACAGGCATGTGCCACCATGTCCGGCTAATTTTTTGTATATATTTTCAGTTGGTCAATTAATTTCTTTCTATTTATAGTAGAGACGGGGTCTTGCTCTTGCTCAGGCTGGTTCTGAACTCCTGCCCTCGAGCAATCCGCTTGTCTCGGCCTCCCAGAGTGCTAGGATTACATCTCCTATTATTTAGATCTTTAAATATGTTATGCCAAATCAGTGATGACGAAGCCTCAGATCAATTGATCACGTGAAAACTGCCTTCATTTTAAGTAGCTCTTCAGAGTAACTGTTCTATATCAAAACCTGGGGATTCGACTCCATAAACTCTGTACCCTGGAAATTAGTAATCAAGATTTTACAGAAATAAAAAGGAGTTCTTCAGGAAAAGAGAAGGGGAGATGGGAGTGGTTGAGGATGACTACTGAAAGGAAGTTTGAACTACATTGGTGAGCAGACATGAACTCAGACTCTCAGGCTTCACAAGGGGCTCATAAGGTTATCTGGATTTCCAGTGTAACATCTTGGCCTCCTAAGCTACTCTAAAGGATGAAGAACATTCTCTTTTTCAAAGACTGCATCACCAAATGGCTCTAAATAGTTACAAATCACTTCCTTATATTGAATTGAAAATCGCCTCTTTATAATTTGACTTATTTGTTCTAGTTTTATGCCGTGTGTTCACCAACAACAAATCAAACTAATGCTTCCAGGTATTCAGTCCTTCAAATAGTTGAAAACAAGCTATCACGAATGACCCCACATGTTCTTCTCTCCAAATCCACAATTTACGCAGCTATCTTATGATACAAAATAGAATCTCTTCCAACCCTCGCTACTAGTCTCTAAATGAGCTTAAATTTGTCTAAAGAAACCCTTCTTAAAGTATTAATATTCCCTCACAATTCAATTCGATAATTCAGATGTTGCCTGAAAAGCCAGAAAACCACTTCCTTAAAAGCATACAAAACGGATTTACCAAGCCAATGTCCCATTCCCTCCTGCCTTCATTTCCCAGCCTTGTGTTATATCTCAAATTCCATTTTTCTTATCATTCATGGCTCTCAAGCTGTCACTCTGGACATCGAGGCCATAAATATATATTATTCTAACTCCTTCCTGTGTCTTACCTGCTATCTTCCAAAGCCTGATACTAATAACTTGGCAATTCAGTTTAAGGTCCTCTTCATAAGGTCAGTTAGCTCAAGGCAATCACATTCTTCCCAGGCCTCTTAAGAAATACTCCAACCCTAGAAAAGGTGCTTCCTTTCTGGTATCAGAAGCCATGGTTCGGAAACACAAATCCAATAGAATTTCAGCCATTTACCTCCCAGATCATCCCCTCCCTGAAGTTTTTACCTAGAGTAGGAAAATATATGAAAACACTACCTGCAGTCACAAGTCCTCCAGTTTCCTGGCCAAGATTTCATATTCCCTTAAAGATACCTCCCAAGGAGGAAGTGACAGGGGAAGGGCACACAGGCAGCCTCTAAGGTACTGATAAGGTTGTTTTTGTTTTTTAAAGAGACAGGGTCTCACTGTCACCCAGGCTGGAGTATAGTGGTGTGATATAGCTCACTGCAACCTTGAACTCCTGAGCTCAAGTGATCCTCCTGCCTCAGCCTTCCAAATGGCTAGGACAGTAGGCATGCCACAATGACTGACTGATTTTTAAAAAAAATTTTTTAGACATGGAGTCTCGCTATGTTTCCCAGATGGTCTCAAACTCCTGGCTTCAAGTGATCCTTCTGCCTCAGTCTCCCAAGTCTAAGATTTTATTTCTTAAGGTTGGTGTTGGGTACATGAGCACATACTTTAATGTTTTAAAAAAGAAAGACACCTTCCTCATTTTTACAGTGTTTTTTGTTTGTTTTGTTTCGCCTGGGCATTTCATTCATTCCCCCATTAGAATCAGTAAAAAGGCAGTCATTAGCAACTTCAATAAACACAGATTCACACTCTAAGGAGACAACCCAGTTGACAACCACAACAGTTCTGATAATAAAAAAACTGAGAGAAAATACTCATATTTGGGCAATTTCAAGAAAATTCAATCATAAGATATATCCCCAAATGAGTACGCATGCACAAAAGCGAGGTTAAGAAACTTTCAGAAAATCATAACCATTCTTTTTGAAAGTATAAAGATAGTATTCTTTCATGTCTTTGTTTTCCTTCAAAATATCTCATATCCATAGACTTTAAACCATTACACTTTATCCAGATTTCATATTAAATCATTAACATTTTATCTAGATTCCACTGCTATTCTTTTTTAACATTTTTAGCATCCTAAAAATACCTTATCAAAAATAACACATAAATTTAGAAAAGTGCATAAAATATAGAGGTACATCTTTTTAAGAAGTTATTGTAAAGTATGTGACCACCACCCTGGTCAATAAAGGATTACAGTCGGTACCCAAGAAGCCTGTAGATCTCCTTTGCAAACACCCTCACTGCCACCAAAACGAGAGGGACTCATTATGCTAACCTGTATGGGAATCACGTCTTTGCTCTTGATAGTTTTACTGCCCACCCAAGTAGGAATCCACAAATTAGTGTTTCTCAGCCTTCCTTTTCATTTTTGCCCCACTAAGAAGCCTCTTCAGAAATTCTTTTTTCTAGTTTCATCTCCCTGCCCTGTGGAATTTTAACACCGCAGACATACCTGTTTCTGTTCTCTGGCCCTTTGGAGGGTATCAGACCACAGCTTTTTTCACTCCAAGGACCAATTTTCACCCCACTGAGGGTGATATTGCCTCCACTGAGAATGCATGTCCTAATCAGTATTAGTTTTACCTATTTTTGAACTCTATACAAATGAAATTATACAAAACAGATTTTGGAGTCTGGTTTGTTTTACTTAACAATGTATTTAAGATTCACCCATCTTGTTGCATGTAGCTGTATCCCTTTTGTGAATATCATAATTCTCCATTTTATTGGAATGAACATGGTTATTTTCTGTTTGAGGCTATTATAAATAGTGCCACTCTGAACACTTTCCGGGTGCACCTAAGTACTCATTTCTTACAGAGTATACGCCTACAAAAATTCCTGAACCACACAGTATGAGTATCTTCTACTTTACCATGTAATACCACATTGGTTTCCAAAGCACTGCACAAATACACGCCCATCAGAAGCAGATGGAGTCCCATTACTATTTTCTTACCTTAAAAGAGAAGTTAAGCAAAATATATTCTATGCCTTCTTTTTCTTTTAAGATCTGAAGATCACTGTGCAAAGGACTATCAGGGTCAACCCTAAGAATTACAAAAGACAGTTCAAACAAAAAGTTAGAACATTTTCTCACTAAACTCAAAAATGAACCAGTCCCAAGAGCTAAAACAGAGCCCCTAAGATAAGTTCCAGACAGAGACGGTCTAAAGCTGCTCTACAGCCCAAGGAAAAATAGCCTCCAGCTCCTTGGGAATAAATGTCCAAAAGATCATACAGTAGTACTCAAAATCTATTCTAATAAGGGGAATCAAGGCTAGTAGTCATTCTAAAAGAAAACAGTTATATGTAAATAATTTTCTCAAGAACTCAAAAAAATTTTAATATGCTTTCCTAAACTTGTATTATTAGCCAAGGAGTTCGAGGAAAGAAATTTGCCATGGAGAAGACTACAAAAAGTTAAATTGCTAATAAAATCTGAATTTGTCTACAATTATTCTATATATACAAATCCTACTCAAATCCCTTACTTCAATTATAAACTGGTTATCACAGTTAGTCTCATCAAGTTGCCATTAATAAATATACGTGGCTGGGCGCGGTGGCCCACGACTGTAATCCTAGCACTTTGGGAGGCCCAGGCAGGAGGATAACTCCAGGTCAGGAGTTCCAAACCAGCCTGAGCAAGAGTGAAACCCCATCTCTACTAAAAATAGAAAGAAATTAATTCGCCAACTAAAAATATATAGAAAAAATTAGCCGGGCATGGTGGTGCATGCCTGTAGTCCTAGCTACTCGGAAGGCTGAGGCAGAAGGATAGCTTGATCCCAGGAGTTTGAGGTTGCTAACGCCAGGCACTCACTCTAAGCCTGGGCAACAAAGTGAGGCTCTGTCTCAAAAAAAAAATAAATACACTTGTTTCTAAGTTCCCACTGTTTCACTAATTCCATGAAATCCTTTATCCCACATCTGGTGCCTCTTTTTCTCCTTCTTTCTCATTTTACTTAAACCTCAGAAACAGTACATTTTAACAATCTAAAAACTATTTATATAGAAACAAAGTCTAAAGTTTTAAGTAAAAGCCATATACAAAGGTATCAATTTAAGAGAAAAAACTCCATTGTGATGATCTAGCATTGCAAACAGGTAGCATAAAAAAGCCACTTACTTCTGCAGTTTAACATGCCAGTCATATAAACTGTCATTTATGAGTTCCACTGAATAAATCCCTGTTAACATATAGAACATGTTAATTACTCTTCATTTGCTCATATAACTATTACTCTGGTATAAATCAATACAATACATATTCAACAAAGCCAGAAATTTTGCTATTAAAACACAAAAAATCTAAGCCATATTAAAAATATTTTACACTTGATCTTAGCCAAAAGGCCAAGAAGCGATATATTATAAATATTTTAACACTAGAGCTGAGTATCTTATTCCCTTAACAGATAATTAAAGCAATCAATTAAGAGGATTCTTTAATGAGTTGAAAAACTGCTTACCATTAACTTTAAGTAAATGAAAAAAAAAAATCATATGTACCTAAAACTTCTCTTCTAGGTATATATAAACATTTCTATAAAGATGGAATCTTTATATATTGTTTTACAGTCTTTCTTCAACTTTCTGAGATATGTCTCCAAGTTGGTTTATATAAATCTATATCTTTTTAATAACTATAGTGATTTATTTTATGGATATACTGTAATTTAATTCCACCCAATATCTGGTTATTAACTTTGCTACTATAAATAATGCTGAAACAAGTGATTATTTAACATTTAAACACAAAATCAGTATTCAAATATTGGTACTCGGCCAGGCAAGGTGGCTCATGCCTGTAATCCTAGCATTCTGGGAGGCCGAGGCGGGCGGATTGCTCCAGGTCAGGAGTTCCAAACCAGCCTGATCAAGAGCGAGACCCCATCTCTACTAAAAATAGAAAGAAATTAATTGGCCACTGAAACATACATAGAAAAAATTAGCCTGTAATCCCAGCTACTCAGGAGGCTGAGGCAGAAGGATTGCTTAAGCCCAGGAGATTGAGGTTGCTGTGAGCTAGGCTGACGCCACGGCACTCTAGCCCGGGGAACAGAGTGAGACTGACTCAAAAAAAAAAGTTCAAAATTAAAAAAATATATATATTGGTACTCTATTAGGTTTCTACAGATAAACTTCTAGGCTTCTTATAAGAAAAACTGTAAGGATACCCAAACTTCTAATAACTCAGAAACAAGTTTGGCTTATCTTGAACTTGATAAAGCAGAGAGGTTTTTGTTTTTTAAGTAAGTTCTAATGATTTTGATTTGACCCTGAAAGTTTATAATGCTATCCCTTCAAACAAGCTATAAGTGTGGCTCTTTCCCTTATTCAACCCGGTTAGAGTCTCTGTAACAACATGGAAGGATCGTACCTCTGGTTACAGAAGTTCTACAATGTTCAAGTCTTACTGGGCAAGAACAACCAAGGCAAATAATGAAATAAAAATTTAAAAAAACCCACCTATTTAAAAAATAATACCATAACTATCTCTATAATAAAGGCTGATATACAAAGGTTGATTTCAAAAAAGGGGAGAAAAATCATAAAAATCAACTTGGCAATAGTTCTTTGTACAATCAAATATATTATCTTTTATTTACTTTCCAAAGTAATATTACTCATGCTTTTGCCAGAAGATAAAGAATTATGATATATGTATAAAAACAATTTTTTTTCTTTTTTTGAGACAGAGTCTTACTCTGTTGCCCTGGCTAGAGTGCTATGGTGTCAGCCTAGTTCATGGCAACCTCAAACTCCTGGGCTCTAGCGAACCTCCCACCTCAGCCTCCCAGAGTGCTAGGATTATAGGTGAAAACAATTTTTAAAAAAAAAATCCAAAAAACAACTCATCTTATTTTACCCCTAACATTTTGGAACTTGATTATATTTGAGTTTCACATCCCTAAAATAAAATAAACATTTCCATTTCTATCCAGTTATAAGAAATGACATTACCTGAAAATAGAAAAGAACAAAATAACAGGAACAACAGAGATCCAGAGGTCCTTACCTGTTTTATAACTCTGTGATCTGTATATGTCCCTGAGCTCTTTCATAAGTCTATCTGAAGCTTGCACCGACCCAGACACTGCACCCTGAAACATAAAACTTGCTGTTTACCAAGGTCTACTGAGTCAAGTAATTAAAGATTTAAGATATTTCAACTTGATATAAAAGTTTACAGTAAAAATGGATCACCACTCAACATTTTAAGGAGTCAAAAAAGTTAAGTTCAATTAAATGAAGGATTAAGAAGTTTCAAGAGAAATATAAAACTGGGGACAAGTCTGGTTCATTTACTATTTATTATCTAGAAGGAAAAAAAAAAGTCTAGCCAACATGTGCAGATCACCATGGACTCTGCCAATGGCATAGAATTCAGTATGACTCTATTCCAAACTCCACATTTTGAAAATATTAGAAGACCCTCATCATAACATGTTAACTAAAACAGAGTTCCATTAAGGAGACTACAAGAAAGAATGTTCCACTGACAGTTTAGCTCACATATTAAGAAACTGAGAAACATGTTTGCCTACATGCAATTGGTTTCAGTTTTTTCAGTGTTGAGACTTCTTCAAAGATGAAAATGCGCCAGTATCTTACCCCAAGAATGAACATGAATGGAACTATTTTTTGATTGTGTGAAATTTTGATCACATAAAATTAAAGATTTTAAAAGGTTGCTCTATGCTTTGAGAAGGGGGAAAAAAGTCAAGTTACAAAGATGTTACTTCCTAGCTATGTGACCTAGAACTGGTTTAAACCCAGTTTTCATATCTATAAAATATGAAGAGGACCTATTTCACACAGTGGCAATGAAGATTAAATGAGAAACCATGAAGTACTTAGTATAGTAATATCATGTGAAAATGTTCAATAATTTACAGCTGTTTTGATTACATAACATATACAAACTGAAATTGATCACAAGACACAGTAAAGCATCATCAATCCAGAGGCCACAAATTTTTTTAATAATCAAGATAGGGGCGTGGCTAAATTTCTTTGCTCTATGAAAAAGGGTTTGCCAATTAAAATTAATGTACTAAATAAGAATGAAGGAGGGAGAATAATCTACCTGTTTTCAACACTTGGCATCTACTTGCGTAACATTCCCTATGTTTGAAAATCTGTGCCCCAAACAAGGTTCTCCGATTGCATGGGGTTGAATAATAGCTCCAATACAAGGAAGGAAGTAGGAAGTGTTCACACAGACAGCCAGACTATCATTTGATGTTTCCCTATTCTGTCTGGGCATTTTATATATCGTTCTCATTTATTTTTCACAGCAATCATCCAAAAGGTATGCATTGTCCACATTTTAGAGTTGAAGAAACTGAAGTCACAAAAGATGTATTTGTCAACAAACCCAGTGTTCACTTCACACTCCTCTGCTGCTTCACATAAAGAGATTTAAGTCAAAAGAGAAAAATTACTTTGGTTTGGTCAAGACAGGACAAACCAGAGGTCAGCTTCATGGAGGAGAAAGAACATGAATGCATTTTATCAGAGAGACTGAACTCGAATATGCAGATCCCGCAGGCGGAAGGTAAGCAGAGAAAACAGCTTAAACAGGCTGGAAATGGGCACATACAGGGGCCAGCAGGTGGGTCCAGGATATGGAGAGCAGAAGAACAGGGTAGAAAGTGACTATGGAGAGGAGAAAGGTAAATTAGGGCAACAAAACACATGACTGAATCTACCATTAAGGCAGGGACAAAGGAAGAGAGCAGCTGAGATTGGTATCTTAATGAACTACCCTAGTGTTAATTATAATTATTTAACCACAAAAGTCCAGGCTCTAAATATTTATACACACTTACATTTAAATGGTCTTGCCTCTGAGTCTTCCTAATTTTCTCTAATATTGCCAAATTTTCTTTTTCAATTCCTTCATCCTCCAACTTTCTCCCACTAATAGGCTCTTCTTCCTTCATCTCATAGTGATCTAAGTCTTCTATATCCTACAAAAAGAAAAATATTACCTTACACAAATTATTTTTCTTGAGTAGTTTTCATATGCAAAAGTTAAATTATTATTCACTCAACCAGAAACAGGAAATAGAGAATACATTTATTCCATGGAGAAGGGAAAAATGCCTGCACATTCAACTCAAAATGGACTCCCTCTTTCATCCTATATTTTACTTAAAAGCTAGACTCTGGGTAAAGCAGTTTTAATAGCTTTACAAAGTTATAGCTATGACCAAATAAGCCATCCATTAAGTCTCCTACTACAAGGAACTTTTGGAACAGTTTAGCAGCAGGGATCAAGAACCTTATCTGTTAATACTCAATTTCTAGAATTCTATTCTAAGAAACTAGTCTAAATTATGAACACAAATTTAGGCATAAAGATACCTATTTCAACCTTACAATCACAAAAACACAAAATACACACGTGCAAAAATGGTAAAAGTTAACTCAATTCCATGGAACAGAAGGAAGCTATTAAAATACCAATATAGCATAATTATTTCTTCTGTATTAATAAAAACTTTGAAATGAAAATCAGATACAAAACAGAATATACAGAATCTCAAATTTGCCAAAATAAGCATAGAAAAAGAGCAGTAGGACTTATACCAAACAGTTGTTAGCTCTGAGACATTTAATACTTTTCCTTATTTTCCAACTTTTCTGTAGCAAGTACCTATTGACTTTTATAATTAGATATCAAGAAAAGAATTTGAATAATTCTAGACCAACATCTTTAATTACATGATTCTGCTCTCTCCTTCCCCACCCATATCATGTGCTCTTAAATGTAAATCTATGAAGAATTATTTTAATCCTAACTTTTTTCAATTATCTTACTTCTCCTTTTATTTCAACTGCCAAAACCTCTAAAGGAGTAGTTTATACTTACTATCTCTACTTTTTTAAGCCGACTAATTTACCGATTTCTAGACCAGGTTAATGACCACCTTCTATCCAGGCTCAATGGGTCTCTTTCTGGGATCCCAATCTCTTCAATCCTTATGACACTCCATTCCTATTCAAACTATGTTCGAGACTCTACTTAGAGCTCTACTCCCTGGTGTGTATCTTTCAGCCCTAATTTTCCATTCTACACTTGTTTTCTTCAGAATTCTCACAAATGCCTTTAGCCTGTATCTTCCCCTCTTACACCTTCAACTTCAGTCATATTCCCATCCACAAAACTTCTCCACTTGAGTACTAATCAGTACATCCCAAACAGAATTCATCATTATCTTTCTTTTTTTTTTTTGAGACAGAGTCTCGCTTTGTTGCCCAGGCTAGAGTGAGTGCCCTGGCATCAGCCTAGCTCACAGCAACCTCAAACTCCTGGGGTCAAGCAATCCTTCTGCCTCACCCTCCCGAGTAGCTGGGACTACAGGCACGCACTACCATGCCCGGCTGATTTTTTCTATATATATTAGTTGGCCAATTAATTTCCTTCTATTTATAGTAGAGATGGGGTCTCGCTCTTGCTGAGGCTGGTTTCTAACTCCTGACCTTGAGCAATCCACCTGCCTCGGCCTCCCAGAGTGCTAGGGTTACAGGCATGAGCCACCGCACCCAGCCCATCATTATCTTTCTAAAACAATATTCTCAGCACACTCTTTTCTCCTTGAGGCCTTCCTATCAACAATCATATTAAATAGGAACATTTATCTCTAATTCAAGACTTGTAGCCATCTGCCTTTCTTATTTCTTAGTCCATCTTGCTTTCCATGAGTCCAACACATCAACCTTCTTCTCCCAAAAGAACAGCATCCAATTCATCCAAAACACATCATGCCCAAGGACATTCTGGGTCTTTTCTACCACATTATTTTTGTAGTTTAGAATATCTTTTCACCTATCCTAATCTGACATTTCCAAAGTCCAGTCTCCTTCCTTTCTAGATTTCCCTAAATGTTGCTGTCCCTTGTTTACCATCCTATGAGGAAAAAAGGAAAAGTACATAAACTAACTTAGTACATTATCCACCTCATTGTACACTGGACCCATGGAAAAAGTTTAATGTTTTCATGCAGTACATTCCACCTAAGTTAAACTGCGAGAAAACATTAAACTCTCTACCCCAAAGTCATTCTAATTGGACAATTTTAAGAACTACTTTACTCCCAGACACACAAAACAAGCCTACAACTACTTCAGTTCTGAAGAATTCTAGAAGTATGTTTTAGATTAAAAATTTCCAAATCAAGAAAATAAGGTAAAAGCCTGAATTAATTCTAAGATCCCAAATAGAAAAACTGTTTTAAATTCAAGACCACAGAATTCATACATCTTCTATGTGATCAATACAGAAACAGATCTTCATTCCAAAGTTTGAATTTAAATGCAAAGCTTCAGAGCCTGAAAACCTCTAAAATTATATCAATGATTGACAACTACCTGGCCTAAGCTCAACGTCTTTGGAATATGCTCTACTAAATTTGCTATGGTTTGAATGTGTCCCCTCCAAAATTCAGCTGTTGCCAGTGTGATGGTTTTAAGAGGCAGGGCCCTTAAGAGGTGATTAGGTCACGAGAGCTCCTTGTTCTTTAATGAGATTAAGACCCTTACAAACGAGGCTTCACAGATACTCGGCCAGCACACTCTTTTGCCCTTCCAGCTCTGCCAAGTGAGGACACAACAAGAAGGCTCGCCAGACACCAGATGGCCAAAAACTCATTGTTGGACTTCCCAATCTTCAAAACTATGAGAAAATAAATTTCTGTTCTTTATAAATTACCTAGTCCCGGGCATTCTGTTACAGCAGTTTTAATGGATTGAGAGAAAATTCTTAGTTGATTTTTCAACAAGAAATGGTTTCACTGTTCCTGGCAAGTAGACCCTGAAATGTTCTCAAATTCACCTTGTATGCAAATACAGAACTTTTTAAACTTAGTAGCTCCTCTTCCTAAAAATAACCAAATACAGGTAAAGTATTGATTACTATTAAATGTAAATATAATTTTAGTTACTATTACTATTAAATGTAAATATAACTTTAATAAATGTTAAGAGCTTTTATTTTCTAGGAAATCAAATCCAAGGAATTCAGATAAAGCAATTTGCTCAAAGGTGTATCATTAGTTAGAGGCAATGCCAGAGCTTAGAAATTATATTTTGCATTCAAAATACAAAGTGCTTTTCATTATTCCACATTAGAGAATTACTAAGATGTTCAAAAATGAAGATATTTATAAAATTTTATTCTTACATAAAATACCTACTTCAGCCATCTCTTCCTCTTCTTCTTCTTCTGAAGTCACTTCTTCCGTTGTCCCATTCTGAAACAGAGAAAGAATTTGCCAAGGCTACAGAGAAAGAATTAGCCAGGGCTACACAGAAAAATATGAACAGGCTGCGTACATCATAAGACTGGTGCCACAGCTTTAGAGACAAACTATTTATCTGTCACTGCAATTCCACTAACAGCTTATTAAAATTAAAACAATTATTTTTACATCTAACTTTGACAAATAAAATCTACCAGCTTTTAAAAAAGAAACAAATGTGAACAATTCAACTTAATAGATGCCTGAGGAATACACAAAGGCAATCAGGCAAATGTAAAGCAAAACTAAAAATTTTAAAACATAATCTAATTTAAAATAATAAAACATTTTACTATTATATGGCTCTATATCTAAGGTCAATGGCTTATTTTATTTAAAATAAATATCCCAACCTATTGATTCCTTAAAATTGCTACCTTTTCTACTTTGAAAGGCCTGTATTCTTCACATAAATTCAACTGCCCTACATTTTAAAAGGTCAGATGTTTTCTAATAGACACTGCATAAAACAGATACTTTACAAAACTAAAAATGAAATAAATAATCACCACTTCACCAAAGAGCTAATTTTTAAAAAAACATGTTACTTACTACAGAATACTTCTCTACAAGACATAATTTACCACTCATTCACAAATGAATTTAATGGAGCTTCAGGAAAGGCCTTCAATATCCAGTTTTGGTGGAGTTCAAAAAGACAAGTTTCCTGGGCCAGAGCATAGTTCTGTAGGACACAGCACATATATTCATCTCTAACCAGAAAGGCCAGCTTAGGCTAGAACCCAGAATATCTAAAAGATCAAGAAACTGGGTTCCAGAGATCAAATCTTACCAACAAAGATCTCAGCAGTATCCAACCATCTGTTCTTACTCTGATGGTATAATTCTTAAGGGGAAAAAAATCCATTATCACAGAGGATATTATAACTCTTCTTGATTAGTGAGCTGGAGAATTTCACATGGGCACACATACCCATGCAGAATAAACTTATATTTGCTTTAAATATGTATCTCTTTAGACATTAATGAGAAAATGAAGCAAGCAGCAGCTCCCAAAATGCTACAATTCACCCCTTTTTTACTTCTGGAACTTGTACATTCCAAATCAGACTGTTTTGGGTATCAAAAGAATATACCTAGCCTAAAAGTCCCAATGACAGAGATCATTTTTTAAATGCTAATTTCAAAGCCTACCCTAAAGAATCTGCTTTTAAAAAGCAATCTGACGTGCTTCTAACATGCAACCAGGTCTGTGACCCATAACCCAGTCCTTATCCTTCATTTTACAAATGAGTAAGCTGAGCCTCCACCCCCTCAAAAAGGGTAATTTAACCAAAACACAAAGCCAGTTAGGGTTGTAAAATCCTAAGATGAATTTCATTCCAAGATGTGCCCTGACCTTCTTTCCAAAACCCCACCAAAATGACAGAAGAATTTTATTTAAAAAAAAAGTTGCATCGCAGCATTAGAAAAACAACAAACACAAGAAGGGTACCATCAGCAAGCCACAACTATAGGGAAATGTTAGAAGAAACAAAGCAGATGGAATCAGACCGCGAGTCTTGAGAAAGCCATAACCCAATCCAGACGAAGAGGGCCACTTCACACATTCTTTGCCATACTTGTCCCAACTACAGTTGGCAAGGATCGCTCTCTTATATAGAAAGCCGACCTTGAGGCCTCTTACTACCGGCGTTGTAACCAAAGAGAAAAGAATGTTTTTATTAATAACATAACTCAACGCAGCAGCAAAATCTCATAACAGACTCTGTCTCTTCCTTTTACCTGGGAGCTGGAAGCCACCAATTAGCACTTCCCCATCCTCATGAAGAGCACAGCTCTGCAAACCAGGAGGGGAGGCCACAGCAGAGAAGAGTGACAATTCTGGGGACACCCATATCAACAATTGATACTTATCAATTCCATACCTCATCTAGGAACCTCTGAGAAGTTAAAAATAAGATCCGCCCCCGTCCCCCCACCCCCGCCTTAAAAAAACAAAACCAAACCTCAGTAAAAGGGCGACAACACACTTGGCTTGACTGAACAAAGCATTTATGACTACATACACCAAACTGCGCCATTGCCTTAGAACATGGAGAAGGAGATGGGGGAAAAACAGGAGTTGGAATTAAGAAAATAGTTAAGGGCATGGAAGAAACAGAGATCTAGCATTCATCCAGAGGAGGGAAGGAAAAAAATAAAAAGAAGTAAAAGAGACAAATGTCACCAAGCTACAGAAAGACTTCAGAATATTAAGTGACTTTGAATACATCAAAGGAATACCAAAAAGTAAAACTTCATACTTCACAGTTACATAGAAAAAAGGAAAAAATAAAATATACAGGCATCAGACTTTCCATTTGTAACAATAAATATCAGAAGATAAAAGCATAAAGAACTGGGAAGAGACTCAATTATTTAAAGCCTCTTAAAGAATTCTTATTTAAAATCCCATATTTAGCTGCACCAGGATAGGAAGCATATCTGTGTGTTCACTACTTGATTCTCTACACCAACATAGAGTACTTTTTACAGAATCAGATATTTGTTGAATGAAAAAAAATCAAGTATTCAAGGAATACTCTCCACACACATTCTCACAAACCCTTCTAGAAGAAAAAAAATCAGGATATTATTCAGTGATATACTTGGAGAGCAGGGAGCGGGGGACCATAAAATACAAGAAACAGCAATAAACAAGAACAGACCAGTGCAGTGGCCTATGATGTAATCCCAGCACTTTGGGAGGCCAAGGCAGAAAAATCAGTTAAGGCCAGGAGTTTGAGACCAGCCTGGGCAACAGAGTGAGACCCCCAACTCTACAAACAAAACAAAACCACAAAGACAACAGTGACACCAACAGTTAAGTCTAAGCAATTGCCGATAATGCAGTTGAGAAGTCACAAGCTATATAGTCTCTGACCATATCAACAAACTAAAAATAACCCAAAAGCTACCCGAAAATGTTTTCTAACCCTAGATAAATATTGGGTTAAAGAAGAAACTGATCAATTGATCCTCATGGCCCAGTAATTCAACTAAGTATGTGCCCCAGAGACATGCTTACACAAGGGTATCATGCAATACAGACAAAAATCATATTTGCCTCCTCATGTGTATCAAAAAATTTTTTTAAAAATAGAATGATCATAGTAAGACTATTTCTAATAGCAAAACACTGAAAACACCACAAATTTTTACACATGGTCAAATGGATAAATGTTATGGTATAATCAATGGAATAAATACAGCAATGAAAAAGAACTACAGCACACACAGTATGAATGAATTTCACACACAATATTGAGCAAAACAAAGGTGAAAAATACATATAATATTACAGAATGTTTGAAAGCAGGCAACATAATATTGTTCTAGAATGCAGACATGAGCGATAAACCTAGAGAAAATTAAGGAAAACATTACATTCAGAGGGACGAAGATCTGGAAGGACGTGCAGAAAATTCCCACAGTGCTAACAATGTTCTGTTTCTTCACCTGGGTGGTAGCTCCCAGGTATTCACTGTGTTACACTAAACTTACGTTGTACACATTTTCAATACATGTTATATTCCACAATAATAAGTTTTAATAGTAAGAGTAATGTGAACAAAAGATGGACTAGAACAACTTAGGAAATACAAACTATTTAGAAAATATACTAAATTTTAAAACTTGGGCAATAAAGTCAAATGGCACTCCAAGAAATGTATACCCTTACATGTCTGTTAAAAAAGCAATTTAAATTACATTGATCTGATAAGCTAGAAAAAACAAAATAAAAAAGGGGAAATAATTAAAACACAAGAAAAGAAAAACATCCTAGGTTTAAAAAATAAAACGATTTCAAAAGACTAATATAATAAACGCAGACAAGCCACTGACAAGTCATCAAGGCAAAGAAAATAACTTTAGAAATAAAAAGAGGATATAATCACATATGAAGATTATTCAAAAAGTGAAAATACTCTGACATCTTTACAACAGCTTCAAAAGTATAGATGAAATGATCATTCTTTTTTTTAGGATCTGAAGTTACTAAAACTGAAGAAGTGGAAAATCTGAACAGACCAACACAAAGAAAAGATAATCAAAGACTTATCCTCCAAAAAGGATCAGGCCTAGATATTTATTTAAATTAGGGTTTCTGAACCTCAGTGATAGCGATATATATTGGACCAGATAATTCTTTGTTGAGGGGAGTTCTCAGGTGCGTTGTAGGACGTTTGGTATCATACCCCTACCCATGAAATGCCAACTGCACCCCTTTGCTACAGCCAGTTGTGACAACCAAAAATATCTCCAGATATTTCCAATGTCCCATGGGAGGCAATAATTACCTTTGGTTGAAAATTACTGGTTTAAACTGTCCTAGATCATAGAAAGAAGACATAAAGCTTCCCAAGTGATTGGCCAGCATAGCCTTGATACTGAAATAAAACAAGAGCCACAAGCAAAACTATATTATAATCTCACTTAATATAGAAGTTAAAAATCCAAAAACAAAGTATTACCATATCCTTTCTAACAGTGTTTATTATGGGAATGCAAGGATGATTCAAAATTAGGAAATTGTCATGTACTTCATTTCACAACTGTTATATCCCTACATAAAATTATAGGCAAAATCATGAAAAAACAGTAGTAGCTCCATATGCATTATTACTAAGTGAAAAACACAAGTTGTGGACACCTCAGAGAAGGAAAGTTGAACGTAGAATGTATTTCTCCCATATTCTCTCTTTCCTGAAGCTCCACCAGAATCACAGTGAAGAATAAACATTGTATAAACACAAAATAACAAGGAATAAGGTTACCAACAGAAAAGAATTCACCTACACTAGAAGATGACAGTAAATGGAGAATGGCAATTAATGGAGCAAAGCAAATAAAGGTGCAGAGGGAACCTGATCACCAGGCTAATCTGCCCCACGGCACCCGGAGGGTTCCAGACTGAGACACCAGGGACACTGGAGAGTGAGAGTGACAGGTAGAATGAGAACAGAGAGATCTACCAAAAGCCTGTAGACAGAACACATTTCCCAGGCCCTAAAACACATTGCTCTCCCACATCTCCTTAAGCAGAATCCAGACAGACACATCTACCTTAGGCAAGAGACCATAAAATTTCATCTCCAGAGAAATAGAATAGTTCTATAATCCTGAAGAAAGAGAAGCCATACATGGAGAGGCCCAAGAGGATGAGGTGCCATGTAGAGAAAGGCCATGTGAAGAAATGCCAAGACAGACCTGGGAATGAAGAAGCTGTCTCAGACATTCCGGTGCAGCAGGATGTCCAGATGAGGCCAATACCAGCCACCATCTAATACACAGTGAGAGTCCCCAAATGAGACCAGCAGGAAAACTGTTCGGCTAAGCCTAGTTATCCCATACAATAGCAAGAGACAGATAAAATTGTTGTTTTATGCCATTAAGTTTTGGGGTAATTGGTTAAGCGGGCAATAAATAAGCAAAACAAAACTTAAATTTATGGCTGTCCATATAAAATTTCCAAAAGTTGAAAGAAAAATATTCCAGAATTAAAAGAGATAGAATTAAAAGAGATAGAATTCAGAAATAATGGCAGAGATACAACCCAAGCCAAGATGTCTAAAATCCAATTAGTAGGCATTCCACATGAATAAATAAAACGGAAAGGAGAGAGGTAGTAAAAAAGAAAGAAAAAAACAAGAAGGTGATTTCAAGATTCCAAATTTGAAAAGGCCTATCCAAACTGAGTGCCGAGCACAGTCAACAAAAAGATCCACAACTAAGTACATCACTGGGATATTTCAGAACACTAAGGAAAAGAAATTCCTAAAAGCTTCAAGAAACAAAGTCATACATAAGTGAATAAAACCCAGAATGACATCAAGCTCTGACATCACCACTGTTAGAAGATAAAAGCAGTCTGAAATTCTGAGGTAAAATTATCTTCAACCTAGAATTATATATTCAAACAATCGTGAGAGCAGAATATAACAGAGGTTACCATTTATTGAAAATATACTATGCACTGGGCACTGTTCTAAATAATTTACATGTACCAACTCATTTAATCCTTATAACTCCCCCAAAATATAGGCACTACTACCATTTCCTCCATTTTGCAAATGGGAAATTGACACAGAGTGATTAGGTAATTAGCTCAAAGGCACACAGCTAACAAGCAACGGAACCAAGATTCAAACCCATGGCAGTCTGGCTTGAAAACCCAAACTCTAGACCGTACTTTTTCAGAAGCTATAACTCAGAAAATGTACCTCTCCACACTTTCTTAGTGTTTTACTTGAGGATATTCTCAGGCACAATGAGAAAGGGTAAAGCCAGGAAAGATACTATGAGATCCGGGAAACAACAGATCTACTCCAGGACAGCAGACAAGAAAACCCTCAAGATGACAGCTGTACAGCTGGCCCAGAGAACAACCTGCCACCGGTTGGTGTAGGGAGAGCTCACAGAAAGGGACAGAACATAATTTTTTTAAAACTAGGAATTACTATAGTAAGGAAGACACTGTAAAACAAAAACTTCACAAGAAAGGAAATATAATAGAAAACTTGACTCTAATGATAAACGGTGATTATTCATATGACTAAAGGTAATATTTTAGGAAGGGGAGGTGGATGGGTAAGTGGGTGGCATAAGAGCTCAATACTCATTTATTATAGTAAAAAGTCAATAGTCGATGCCTAAATAGGTAAAGGTAGAAATCCAGACAAGTTAGGGGTGGTGGTGAGCTAGCGGGAACTTTGCTGCACTTGTGTTAACTCCTTAAGAAGCACAGATAGAATTAAGGAGGCGGCATTCCAGGTGAAGGTAACTGAATACACAAAGAATCAAGGGACATTTATGAAAACCAAGAATGTTAAGAACAAAAAGGTGGTGGTAGGGAGAGGGCCAATTGTTTGCCTGTCACAGTAAATACCAGTAGCTCCAAAGAATGAAAACCTTATTTTTAGTACCTAAAACAAAACAGAACAATTCAACAGGAACACAAAAACTAACTCCTAAATAAGTAGAAAAAGAAAAAGAAAAATCATCCTAGTTTTACTTTTGCTTGAGAGAGTTTTTACTTTACCTGACCCGTGGGTAGTGGTTGATCTAGCATCTCAACATCCAGGTGCTTAGGAAGGTTATATAATCTGCAGAGTTCACATATCAACCACTTCAATTGCTGACGAAGCTACAAAACACATTTCAGTAAATAAGCATTATGTTAAAGAGCCCTTAGAAGACATGAATAATGCTATGACGACTGTAATCAATCCAGCAGGAAATGAAAAAGTTTGCTGCTGCTCAACTGTAGCCTACAGATAAAATAATAGTCTTTAAAATATTTTTAGGGGCTGCTAGTATAAGAAAGTTGCTATGGCTTAGAGTAAAATCCCTACAACTCATACCTAGCAGAATGACAACAAAAAAACGGGAAGGGAATTCAAGACACTGCCCAATTTCTAGTTGCTAACTTCAGACAAGAGAACATTAATGCATTAATAAGACGATAAAACAACATAGGCAGTATTGTTACACATGGATTACAGAATTACATATTCCAGTCACATCATTTAAAAGTACAGAGTCAAATGTGATCTAGTAGACAGAGCCTGGGAAGGAAATCTAGATAACCTTGGATACGGTATCTAACTCCCTAAGTTGGAGTCTGCCCATCTGTAAAATGAACTAAAACTTTTCCAGAATGGTAAAGATTAAATGAAACCTGTGAAAACATTTGACGATTAGTAGGCTCTTAAGAGTCTTAAGATCTTATGTATCTTAAAAAAAAATAAATTACTCACTAGGACCACTGCAAAGAATAACTGTAAATTTCCATTTTTAAACCCAGATTATTTTGTAAGCACATTTACTTTAAGCAAGTAAGCCAGGTAAATTATGTGCACAAACATGTTTTCAATTGTTTAAAATTGTTTTCAATGTATAATTTTACCAATTAAGGTTTAAGAAGAATGGTCAATACTTGACAGACTCAAATGGGATCTAATAAGGCAACTTACTTCACTTGGTCAGGAATGGTTTCCTGTGTGTCTCTGACCATAAAACAGATGAAGAGAAGGAACTAGGTTTATGAAGGACTAAGAAAGAAGAGACAGGATTGGAGGTTAACAAAGCAAAGCAAAGGCTTTCCAAAGTAGACAAAGGAGCAATTAGAAATGAGGAAGGCTCAACAGTAAATTAGTATCAAACAAAAATCCTCATGCTTAAAAGGAAGCCAAGCCCCACTGTGGATTTAGTATCCATCCAATGTTTTGTGCTAAGGACAAAATGAAGATGAGGCAGGGTGATCCAGACACAGACCTGGACACCCCAACCCCGGCACAAGAGGATCTATAGAAGTGCTATGGGAGAGGCAGCAGCGTGGTGGAGTCATACCAAACAAGAAAAACAGGGTAGTACATCGTCTAGGAATTTCAATTTTATTTTCTTGCCAAAAAAAGAAAAGTGTTTGAGGGATGGGGGGAAGAAACTAAGATCACAAGGAAGAACTCAAGAAATATTTAAAAGGTACATGGACAGGTGTTAGAAACTTACTAGATAGTTTAGGGGTCAGGAACAGTGGTGTAAAAAGAACTATACAATAGCTCCCACATTCAGCATGAGTGACTAGTTTCATTACTGCATTTTGTCCCACACAGTCACAAAGAGAATTACTGAGAGAAAACATGATGGGGTGGTGGAGTGCTAGGAGGCAGATGAGTGTAAATGTAAATGTCAGTAGTTGGAAACCCATGGCTAACCCTAACCCTTAACAGATATATGGGTTTGAAACTTTGAAGATAAATTTTAGCTAGAGACACAGATTTAAGAATCCCTGGAATATAGGTCATGACTTAAGTAATGGGAATGGAAGAGATTACTCAGAGAAAGCAGAGTAAGAAGAGGAAGTCTAAGGTAGAGATCAGATGAGACCAAGGCAGGGTGATAAGATAAAAACAGTAGGCAGTGATCTGACAGAAGTCCCATTAGATTATCAGTTCCCAGAGGACAGGAACATGCCTTATTTGTCTTTTATACCCACCACTTATCACAGAGTCTCACACAGAAGTCAATCAATTTTTTAAAAAATATTTTTCTGTGTTCTACTATTAACAGTTTCCTGTATGCATCTACCCAGGAGGGTGGGAGAGAAGTATACAAGCATAGATACAGATTTTTTTACAACATTGTATACAAAAGGGGCCAGATTACACACAATATTCTATGCCATAATTTTTGTTTAACCAACTCTTTACTGGTGAACATTAAGTAATAAATGTTTGTTGAAATATTTCAATAAGGGAACAATCAATAGTATCAAAATGCTATAGAGGGGTCAATTTGGGGACTAAAAAAGGAGCCATTGGATTTGGCAACTAGCAGACAAATTTAGTGCAACAGTGAAGGCAGAATCCAGATTATAATAAGTGAATTAAAGATGAAGAAATATAGCTTATTTTTTCAAGAAACTAGACTATGAGAAACTGGCAGAAGCTGTAAGATAAAGTGGAAAGTGAATTGTTTTTCCCTTCATGCAAATACTTTTTATAAAATTAGGCCCAATTTTATATCCTATTTTAACTTTAGGAGCATTTTATGTAATATTTTAGACACTGAAAAATAACTTGACTCATTTCTGCCATTATAAAACTGGTATCTTTAGATCTTTATAGGCAACCTCCTAAAAGAACACGGCAGTAATAGGGCTATGTCTATCATTCTTTTCTATCATCCTCCTGCTAGAGAAGTGAACATATGTCTGTTTAGCTTTAAATTTTTACCTCTTACCTGCATCACTCTCCAAACCAGCCTCAACTCTTAAAATATCTTCAAACTGATATTCTTCTGTCCTTAAAGAATCTATAACTTATTATGACAAAAATCTGAGTTAAATGGCCAGTGCTCCCAAAACTATTTATGGAATAATCTATCCACTCTTTACTGAATTAAAATACCACCTTTATTTTATTCTAAATTCTCATTTGCGTGACTCTGGCTCTAAATTTCTCTTGCCTTTATCTGTCTGGCACAGGGCCAGTACACAATATCGTGTTTAACATCGAGTTGGGCAAGTCTCTTATTACCTTTTTATAAATTTTTTATTATTTACTCTTCTAAACAAATTTTAGAGTCATTTGTCAAGTTCTAAAAATAAATTTGCTGAGATTTATACTAGAATTGCATTTTATTTATAAATTAATGTGAAGACATGAATATAACTGACATATTTAAAATGGAGTTGTCCATCTAGGGACATAATATCCAAGTCTTTCATTCCACTCAGCACAATTCTGTAGTTTTCTTGATACAAGCCCTGTACATCTAAGTTTATTCCTCGGTATTTAATTTTTATTGTAATTGTCAATAAAATACTTTATCACTATATCTTGATTATAGCTGAAATTTGGAAAATCTATTGATTTTTATAATAGAACTTTTTTTTTTTTTTTTTTGAGACTCTGTTGCCCAGGCTAGAGTGCCGTGGCATTAGCCTGGCTCACAGCAACCTTAAACTGTTAGGCTCAAGCAGTCCTCCTGCCTCAGCCTCCCAAGTAGCTGGGACTACAGGCATGCGCCACCATGCCCAGCTAATTTTTTTTCTATATATTTTTAGTTGGCCAATTAATTTCTTTCTATTTTTAGTAGAGATGGGGTCTCGCTCTTGCTCAGTCTGGTCTGGAACTCCTGAGCTCAAACAATCCACCCACCTTGGCCTCCCAGAGTGCTAGGATTACAGGTGTGAGCCACCACACCTGGCATATAATAGAACTTTTAACGAGTCATCTTAGAAATTTTTTTCAGTTGGTTTCTTTGGACTTTGTTTAGTAAACAATCATGTCACCCCGCAAATGATGATTATTATTTTTCTGTAAGAACTTTATGACTTCATGGGAAAAATACAAGGACAATGTTAACTTTTTTTAAAGGATACAAAACTATATAGAATATGACCTCAACTATTTAAACATATGCATAAGAGTACATGTATTTTACTAGCAAAGAAAAAAAATACTAGTAGACAATAGCCATCATGTCAACAGTGTTCATTACATAGAGGAACTATGGGAGATTTTTATTTTCTTCTTTTTGCTTTTCTGTATTTTACTAGTTTTCTCACAATGGCTTATTATGAGTTTTATAATCAAAGAAAAAGGTTTTTAAAATTTTTACAAGATGGAAAGTTACATTTCTTTACATATTAAAAACAAAAGAACTTTCTGTTTGAATACTTTTGGCTTTTACTACAGACTTACAGACCCTTGAAAGAAAGACCAATTCCCTAACACTAGTACTGGTGTCATTCTATCATCTTCATTCACACCCACCTTGGTCTTATTCCACTTCCCACCTTAGCTAGTGGTCTCTCCCAAATTGCTCAGTTTAATGCTTAGAATTCAGGGGAAAGAGATCCTTAATTCCTAATCTAAATTAAGGGTATACCCATGGGAAAACAGAATTTGAAGGACTTAAAAACACATACACACTCTGGTCTTTAACCCCTTTAATATTATCAAATAATCATTAATCATGCTTTTCATATCATAATATCTCTTAACACTTAAGTGTGGTATAAAACGTTCATTCTAACAAAAAGAAAGTAGCTTGGCTTATTTTCTCACCAAATTATTGTTCTTAGTATCTTCTAGACGTTCCAGAACTGATGTCAAATTTGGGTCATCAGAGTCCACAAACCATATGGGTGAAGAAGATGGGTAGGATTCCTGTTACAGAGACATCTATGTTAACACATTTACATATGTACAGCCTAACACAAAACCACACTGCTAAATGACAAAATGACCACGGATTTAAGTAAAATTTATGGGGGGGATTGGGGGGGGAAAGCAACACATTAAAATCCATGTGGGGAGAAACAAGTTTCTTTTTATGGATTTCTTTTAAAAACGTAAAGTTGCTAACTATCATGGTTTAATCTTGCCTGTTCCATGTCACATAATTCGTAAGTCTAAAAACAACAGAAGCACTTTACCTAGTAAGCAGTATGATTTAAACAGAAGAGAATACACTGCAAAAGTTACATTTTTATCAAAAGCATAAAAAAACAGTATTCAGGTATCAAGGAAGATAGGCTTCCTTCCTCTACAAGGAAAGGTCATCATGGCCTGGATTCTCCAGCTTTCACAATTTTAAAGGGCTTTAAAATCTGGGATCATAATAAATCTCCCAAAAAGCAAAAACAAATTTAAAAATAAATAAAAACATCCCAGCCATAAAGTACAGTCTATAGCAGGGGTCCTGAAAACTTTTTAAACAGGGGGCCAGTTCACTGTCCCTCAGACGGTTGAGGAGTGTGCACTGTGCGCCCGGGATGAGAGGACTGCTAAGCAGGACAGTGGCAGCAAAAACACCCAGCAGGCCAGATAAATGTCCTAGGCGGGCGGCATGTGGCCCACAGGCCGTAGTTTGAGGATGCCTGGCCTACAGATTTAAATTGTACTATGTTTGCCTTTTAATATAACAAAGCTACATTTCTAAACTGCATCTGGAGGAGACCTAACTACATTTTTTAATAAAAGCCAAGGATTATGTTTTTAAAACATCACAAATGTTAAAAATGACTTTCAAAAATCCTCTACTCACTATACGGCTTACTTTCTGTGTAATTATAGACTTTGAGAGTTCTCTCTACTACAAAAATCGGCCCTAAAATTTATCCCATTTAATTTTGTCTTTTTCCTAATACATTTTCATCTCAGAATATGGGGCAGAATGTAATTTCTAAAAGAACAGATTTCTTAAATGAAGTTAGTATTAATTCTTAAATGCAGCAGATGTTGGGAAGGCAAAACAAGCAGTAACACAGGGCTACCATAGCGCTTACACTTGCCATCGCAGTTGGACTTCTGAAACCACTCTCCTTGCATAGCCATTGTCTGTGTGCTACAGCTCAGAGAAGTCAATGTTCCCGCACTGTAGTGGGCAGCCTCTAAAATGGCCCCAATAATCATCACCTCCTGGTATTCATACCCTTGTAAAATTCCCTCCCTTGGACCTACTGACACCTCCAACAAATAGAATACAGGAAAAGTAATGGATGTCACACCTCTGCGATTAGGTTACAAAAAGACTATAATGCCTGACTTGCTCACTCACTCCTGCTCTTCTGCTCTGAAGGAAGCCGCTGCCCTGTGCTGAGCTGCCCTATGGAGAGGCCTATGTGGCAAAGAACTGAAAAAGGCTTCTGACCAACAGCCAGCCAGAAAGTGAGGTTTTCAGTCCAACAGCCTGCAAAGAGATGAATTCTGCCAACAACTAGGTGAGTGGACTTAGAGATGGATTCTCTTCCTGTCCAGCCTTGCAATGACTGCAGCCACCACCACCACCTTTACTGCACAGCGTACTCAGATTCCTCCCCCACAGAAACTATTGTTTTAAGCTGCTAAATTTGTTACAGAGCAGAAGGTAACTAATTCAAAACCATAAAATCCAATATTTATTCCATCACACAAACTGAGTACTACCAAGAAATGGTATTACTACATATGTATTTTTTAAAACACAATTATGTGTGTTGATTTAAAAAAAAGTTAATGAACTAAGCATTATGTGTTTTCATCTACTAATACAGCAATCCTCAACATATTTTGGCATCAGGGACCGGTTCATGGAAGACAATTTTTCCACAGACCAGCGTGGGGGCGATGGTTTCAGGATGATTCAAGCTCATTACATTTATTGTGCAGTCAAACCTCTCTGCTAATGATGATCTGTATGTGCAGCTGCTCCCTGGTGCTAGCATCACCTCAGCTCCACCTCCGATCATCAGGCACAGACTCTCATAAGGAACAAGCAGCCTGGACCCCTCGCATGCAGTTTACAATAGGGCCCGCGCTCCTGTGAGCATCCCATGCCGATGCCGCCGCTGATCTCAAAGGAGGCGGAGCTCAGGCGGTGATGCCAGCGATTGGGAGCAGCTGTAAATGCAGATGAAGCTTTGCTCCCTTGCCCAACACTCACCTCCTGCTGTGTCCTGGTTCCTAACAGGCCACAGACCAGTAGCAGTCCACAGCCCAGAGGTTGGGTACCACAGCACTAACAGACATTTACTTTGTTCATTTGTGTTGTTTTCTATTATAAATTGGGGAAAAGCTATTATTATTAGATATTAGCAGCAGAACAACTAGGTTCAAGTGATAGAAAATTTTGCACAAACACAGTTTTAAAGAAGCATTGCTTTGAGAACCTATAATCTTAATTATTAATATAGTTAAGCCACAGAAATTGGATATTTTTAAGGCATTTTACCAAATGTTAAGAAAAAAAAATTGTATGGAAGTAGGACATCATTAATGGTATTAGTATATCTGTTCAGTAATGGTTTATTTTTCCATTCTCATTTCTCTAAACCTTACTGTGTCTCAAATCTCTTTGCAGGCTAAAAGGTAAACTGTCTCTAAATTAATCTCATTCTTAATGAAAACCACTTATTGAGTACTGCATTTTCTTCTTTAAATTCCTCAGCCTACTTTGGGAACATAACATCTAGACCATTTTTACTGTTTTAGTTTTGTATTCTCTGTAGCCTTAAAAAAAAACACAAAAAAAACAAACCTAGATTTAGCACTTCATTCTATAGTGTTGTCTACCAAACTTCTGCATAAGCAAAATAAAATATGCATTGCTGCTTTGGACCAAAACTCCTCAAAACCATAGTAAGAGAATTACAAAAAAATTAACTGGAATTAGTTACTACCTCAGACATGTTTTTTTTCAATCCCGAACATGAGAAGATATAATATATAATAGTTTTAAGTACCCCTTTCAATAGTTCCCAAAGTGGGGCCCTCAGACCTCTAAGTCCAAACTATTTCTATAAGAATACGAAGACTGCCCGGTGTGGTGGCTCACACCTGTAATCTAACACTCTGGGAGGCAGAGGCAGGCGGATTGTTTGAGCTCAGGAGTTCGAGACCAGCCTGAGCAAGAGCGAGACCCCGTCTCTACTAAAAAATAGAAAGAAATTAGCTGGACAACTAAAAAATATATAGAGAAAAAATTAGTCAGGCATGATGGCACATGCCTGTGGTCCCAGCTACTCGGGAGGCTGAGGCAGAAGGATCGTGGGAGCCCAGGAGTTTGAGGTTGCTGTGAGCTAGGCTAACACCATGGCACTCTAGCCCCAGCAACAGAGTGAGACTCTATCTCAAAAAAAAAAAAAAAAAAAAAGAGAATACTAAGATGGTGACATTTGCACTAATGGTGCAGATAAAATGGTGGGTAAAACTGTTGGTGCCTTAGCACAAATAAAGGCAGTAACACCAACACTAGAAATCATAGCATTATTCACCACCATGCACTGAGATATATAAAAGGAAGAAGAAAAAAGGGTCAGTTTATCTCAAGAATGTCTATGACACAGCAGTAAAAATTATTTTTCTAAATCTCAATCCTTGAATATTGCCAATAATGAAATGGGAAGTATACACGAGCACTTATGTGACTGAGTTGAGGTGAACTAACTTTATATGAACACTATTTTTACTTGCAAAGATGAATGACTAACAATGGTTAATCCAACTTGGGTTTTTGGCAGATATTTTCTCAACAATGAATGAAGAGTCTGTCATCTCAAGGAAAACAAAAAACAGTACCTATTGCCAGTTATAAAATTCAAGCTTTTGAGTAAAAAATCAGAATGTTGGAAAACTTGTACTCACAGCCACAAATTTGATATCTTCTCAAGTATTCTGATAAGACTGATGGCAATATGAATATGTTTTGATATTACATAATGAAACATATCAACATTTAGATTTCAGTGAACCAGTATTTTCCAAAGGGCAAAAGATCTGTTCAAAGTTCAAGAAAGACCAAGTTTTGATGGAGTATCAAAAAAGAATATCTATAATTATCTAAAATGGCTATTAAAATTATTCTTTTTCCAACTAGGTTTCTGTGAGGCTGGATTGTGTTCACATCATTTCAACCAAATGTCACACAACAAATTGAATGCAGAAGCAGATGCTAGACCAGCTATCAAAGAGACTTGCAAAAAATGTTAAGACTGTGCTACTATTCTCACCAAATTCTTCTGGTTTAGAAAGTATGGTTATTTTTCACAAAACCATTTGTAATAATATGTAATAAGTTTTTTAATGAATGTTTTAAATATTTCTAATTTCTAATGATAAATATCAATAGATATAACCTACATAAACAAAGGCTCCGTGGGCCCTCAAAATATCTTTAAGAGTGTAAAGGAGCCCTGCCCCCTAAAACTTTGAGAACTGCTGCCTTCCCTTCACCTTCCCCCACACCTAGAATTTCTTCCTTGGAAGAAAACATTCCTTTATCATTCTATATTAACCTCTAGCTGCATTGACAGTTTTGCTACCTGCATCCCATCTTTCTCTCTCTCTCCCTCCCTCCCTTGACATAAAACTTGACAGAAGGACTCTACCAGCCCACCCCATTCCCAGTGGTTAGCTGCCAGGTGGGCCAAGCCAGGAAAAACTGTGTCTTTCCTGAGGCTAGAGCTCTCTTTCTGGGACACCTGGAGTCACAGAGATAATGTTGGCCCACCTGGGGTATTCAGCGTTCATCTTGCCTAAATCAGTAGTAAGGAGAGTATAGGGAGCCAAATCACTTTCTAAAAAGTCATAATGGATAATTATACTTTCTGCCATGACTGTGAGAATGCCCACTTGCTAACATTTTTACCAATCTGATAAAAGCTGCTACCTAGAAGGAAAAAAACATT